CGCATTTCGCCAGACGCGCGAGCTCCCTCTTTCTTTCGACAAATGCGCTACAAGGACATAAAGCAAGAGACACAGCACAAGCGCTTGTGCTGTGTCTCTTAAGTTATGTCCTTGTTTCGTGACGCTTTTGTCAAAAGGAACTATGTACCATCTACCCCATCTTTCGCTATTTTTCCCCATTTCTAAAGTTCACGCCACAGCCGTTGGGCGGCGCCGCGCCTCCTCTGGAATTGCGTAGCAGAGTTTCCACTTGTTCGACGGAGTCACGTGGTTTATAAATTATGGTCCGCATTTGCAATACGAGCTCCGATGAAACGTCTGTAAGCGTCTGTAAGCGTCTCAGCCGTTCTGCCCTCTTTTCTTTTCGCCACCCGACAGCCCAGCGCATGCGCACTTGCGATCAATCGGTGCAGAAGGCGTCTTCCGTTACAGACGCGCCCCACGGTTTAAGTTGCTCCCTCTTTTAGATCTAGGCTCTCAAGAATTGGCTAGGGTCGCGCATATCCACATTTAACCGACACATCGGAGCAACACGCCATCTGAGTAAGGCGAGAGCTCTTACTAATCCACGTTTTCGAAAACAAAACTGCCCGTAAAATAAAAACAAAACAGAAGGCAACCCTAAGTGTAATTGGGGAGTTTTCGTGGATCGTTTCCGCCGCCCCGCAACGTTTTACGCAATCGGAATTAAAATTAGGGGGGGGGGGGGGGGGGGGGGCATTGAGAATGAGGAGTCGTTGCTAACAAAGGGGGTGCATTCAGAAAAACAACGGGGGAGGGCTCTACACCTCCCCTAGGGGGTGTGTAGGGAAATCACTGCTCTGCAACCAGCTACGAGCCTCCGGGACTCTGCGGACGAGGCTAGCGCCGCGCATGCGCTGTAGTGACGTCTTCGTTCCGGAGTGTGGAGCGGAGGTGGGAAAACGGTCTACGAAATCTCCCTATTGAGTACTAACGCATAAAACAGTCGCCGCGGAGGAAAAAACAAAAAACAAAACAAAAACAAAAAAAAAACTAAATTAAGCCTTTTTTTTTTCTCTAGTCCGTCAGTCTGCATGAATATTTAACCAGAGGCTCCCCGTGAAATCTAATGGCGCTTTCAGCGCTTCCCGAGTGGACAGTAATTGGTGACGGCGGCCCATTGGGCCGAATAAAGCCCGGTTCAGCGAACTTCGATGCGCGGCCCAACTTTCGAGGAAACTTCTCGATTTCCGGGAAAGCTCCAGCGCTTCGTTCTAAGAACGCATTGGAATAGGAACGCACTCGCACTGCTAGTAAATCATACAAAGCTATAATTTATTCTATTTATTTATTTCGATACCCTCAAGGCCCATAGGGCATTACAAAAAGGAAAATAATGCGTATTCACGCACGAAAAAAAAAAAACGCAATAAAGCTACAAAACAGTAAGCAATTTTGCTAGAAAAAAAGAAAAAAAGAGTCCGGCGTATTAGCAAAGGTGATTAGTTCTTTATATAGCTGAATGGATGGTATGTTGGGAGTTCCAATCAGGTGACAGATGGAGTCGATGTATACTGAGGCTTCACAATGAAACGTGCCCCTTTCAAAATTACCACCAACTCGTGCAAAAATTTGTGAGGGGCTAAGGAATAATGGACTTTTTTAGTGGGTAGAAATCGGGCTTTTTAAATCAACGAATGGGGAATTCGGTTTTTCGGGTTATATTTAGACATAGAGAAGTCACAATCGAGTCGTCAGACCCAGTCAAGTTATCATATGGTCGCTTTTTGTCCGGAGGTCCGGCAGAGTAAATTTCTAGAAATAAAGATTTCATTTCATTTCATAAAGTACACAAATTGGAACATAGTATTTCACCCGGGCTTTTCGAATGTTCGTGAATTATTTTTGCTTACATAATTATCAGCATGCGCAGCATCTGAGAACTCTCCGGTCTCAACATCACAACTTGCGAACATTTGGGATGCACAACATCATTTCAGTACGACAGGACCAAAATATCCGCTAGCTGTACCCGTCGAAACAAAGTTTCGAGAGTAAAATCTCATTCAGCTCTTCCAATCTTTTTTTTTTTTTTTTTTGTCTGCGCCGGTTGGAACAGGGGAGAAGGAGGGCAAAGAATGCACTTCACAATGTGTATAAAAGCGACATTTGGTGGCTCGATCTACGTCACTGAAGTTCACTGAGGCCAACACATGCAATCTAAACTAGGTTCCGAGGTGGGGGGCTATCTAGCGCTCATGTTCATATATACTCGTTGTTTCCTAGAGAATGTTTTCGAAGTAGAGCAGTTTGGAAAACGGTAGAATTCAATTTTCGAATTCGGGTAAAAAAAAGCGGGTATACACTCTAAAAAATGTTTGTGCGTCTACTTTCTCGCACAACACTCGGAGAACCAATCACTGCAACTTACGGAGGCAGCTCAGCGAATGACAATGCCGAAACATCTGTTTAGACCGAAAAACGCAGTCTGAGTTGTGACATTAAGCAATGCAAAACGTCACGCTTGCATTGCTTAATAGGGAGTTTTAGTAGATCGTTTTTGTGCAGCCGCTCTCCAGAGCGGAGCGCTTAATCGCCACTGCGCCTGCGCGCCGATGGCCTTGGCTGTAGAGTTCCGGGTAGCGGAGGGGCTTAGCGGAGCGGGAAACACGGTTTACTAAAACTCACTATTGTCACAACTCAGTCTGCGTTTTTTGGTCTAAACATATGTTTCGGCATTGTTATTCGCTGAGCTGCCTCCGTAAGTTGCGGCGATTGGCTCTCCGACTGTCGTGCGGGAAAGCAGACTCACGGGCTTTTTATAGAGTGCAATTTTCAAGAAACATGTTTGGGGCCTAAATATGGGGAAATGTCGGGTTTTGCGCGAAAAAGAAAGGTCTGAGCCTTGTTATTACGAATTTGTTCGTGTTGTAAACTCTTAGGGTGACTGACAGCTTAACACAAGGCGTGGCTTATTATTACGTTCACGCCTTTGTTTTCGTCATTCTTTTTTTTTTTTTTTTTGTATTAGGTTATTGCGCAATCCCATTGGCCAAAGCACGGCGAAAGGCATGGAGCTTTGTGAAAGGTGTTTTTTTTTTTGTTGTTGTTGTTGTTGTTGTTGTTGTTTTTTTTGCTATTCTAAACCTGTAGGAGACTATATTAATTCATAGGCGTTTAAGCAGGAAGCGCCGAAAGATCGGTTTTGCAGGCCTTTGTGAGCCATTCAATATATTCTGTTCCACGCAACGGAAATGGCTTCACTGATCTTGAGACAAACGATAACAATAATAATACTAATAATAATACAATTACTGGTACAAACATAAGACCTACTAATAACAATAATAGAAGCCATGCACGCAAGGTGCGCTCTTTATCTTGTTCTGAAAAATAGTGAATCATAGCTCCGATGCTGTAACGCGAGTAGACGTAAGTATTTGTGACCGCTTCCTGTTTTTGTCTTCTCAAAGACCGCTTATAAAAACTTCCGGGCAACCGTGACCTACATTTCCGCCGTGGCTTCAATCTACCGTGAGCCCTGGAGTGGAGACTCGGCCAGAAAATTGCCAGAGGAACCGCCACGCGCATTTTGCGAAGACTTTACGTAAAATAAAATAAATAAGGCATTACAGGACGACGCGTGTCGTACATCAGAAATGCATTTCCGCGATCTTTTCTTTTCCTCTTCTAGCCGTCTTCATTTATGTCTGTCACAGACAGATCTCTTGTCGACCACTTGTTGCGACACCTTTCAGCTTTGCCCCTCGACGGATGAATACAGCGCTTGTAGGCGTCTTTCCTGCACCTATTAGGTCCCTTCTGATCTTACAAGCGAGGCAACGTTTTCCAACGATCACAGCAAAACGAGGGGTGCATGCGAGAAGCCATTTGTCACATAGTGATCATCACTACTGTAGTTTCGTTCAAGGCCGTGGTTTGGCAGCATCATCGCCTTTTAAGCCCTTCCCACAACGCTTCAGCAGAGCGAACGCTGGAAAAGAGGAAGTGAAGAGAGGAGGAAACGACTAATCATGGCGAGTAGAGAGCATGTGAGAGGTGCTTTTGCTGCTATTTTAAACCTACAGCAGATAATTTTAATTCATAGGCGTTTAAGCTGGAAGCGCCGAAAGATCGATTTAGCATGCCTTTGTGAGCCAGTCAAGATATTCTGTTTTACGCAGCGGAAATGGCTTCACGCATCTTGAGAGAAACGATAATTCTGCTATCTCGAGTAGGGCACCATCTCCGGAAGAAACACCGATATGCCCACGCACTCAACGAGAGATTACGCAAGCAGTCGACTGGGACAAGAGTGCTCAGCTGCCGTCCCTTTGGAGACGTAATGCAGAATGGACTTAAATGCAGAATTCACCTGTAGTTTCTCTAGCCTCTTGTTGGCCGCGCGTATGTGATATTGATATTTATTGCACTTTGGGTGGATAGGGACGTGCAGGGTGTGCCCGTTTTGCGGTAAGACTGGCGCCCACGTATGCCCGCAACATCCTCGTGACACCGACCCGCACGTCCTCTCTGTACACTCTTCATATACAGAGGTGTATGCATATCTACATAGGTTAGTGTCACAAAATACTTCTACAGCTTTCTCCGCTTCTTTATAATATAGTATATAATTTCGACTGGGGGCATACCTTCCTCAAAAAGTGGAAAGAACAAAAATAAGATCCATACCTGTTCGATGTGCCCATGCCATCTACCTACACTCGCCGGAACACGTCATACTACCGTAAGACACCGGCGCACATAAGAGAACATCCCCCTCATGAATAAGAGCGAATAAAGTACATTTCGTTTTATATTTGCTTTATACAAGATTCTCCGCTCAGTCAAGGACCGCCTCAAACCGAATTTTTGAACGGACGGACGGTCTCAAGAGGCGCCGTAAAACAGCGCACGCCAAAACAGCTGCGGAAACACACCCTCCTGACCGACTGTCATTCAGGTAACACCAGCCGGTCTGTGCTATCGACGCGCGCGCGCGCGCGAGTTGAAAAGACAACTGCAAGCGCAGTACTCACTTCCCGATGAACTCGTGCATTTCGTAGACATCGTCGAATACGACGTCTTCATCGGCCATCGCTGACGACGACGAGGACAGTGCGTTTGAGAAGATCACGACGACGACGACAACAACAACACGCAGAAACGCACCGCTCTGCTCCGAGGAGAGGGGGAGTGACGTTCAGAGGAGCCGCAGGAGCACGCTAAGCCTAACGCCGTAGCATCCGCACTGACATATCCTACGAAGCTACGACGGCGCGAAGACTTGGGTCGACCGAGGGACCGGTGCGACGGACTGCCGACTTCAGCCGACGTTCATGGCCCTCTCCGTCGACTCCGATCGCGGCGGTGGGGACCACCGGTGTGCGACGGCACTTTTAGCGGAGCTTGCGGCTCGAGTAGGACGCGCGCATGCCGTGGCTAGGTTCTGTGTTTCTTCACCACACTGATACGCGCCGGGAAGAGCGCCCGCTTGCTTTGCTCTCGCTCGCTGCTGAGCAAGGAGCTGCGGAGGAAAGGCGAAATGCGAGTGGAGAAAAAGATACAAATGGAGAAACTGGGACAGAGGAGCGCCTGCGCCGGCGCGGTTCGATAGGCCGTCCACAGATGGCGCTAAATGTACGTCGGGTTTGCTGTTGTTGCGGCTTATATAGTGAACGTCCCCTGCTTTCCGAGTGTAGCAGCGCGTTGGTGCAGTTGCTGGCACTGAAACAAGTACGGGTAATTTATTATGCAATCTAGGTAATCAAACAGTTATGAAGTGAGACTTCAACGCGATTCGTCAATTAATTTTGTAATTATCCCAACTCGTGAAATGTAAAGTTTAAATGGTGCCAATATTTACATCATTTATTCAAAAACTCCACTCATGATCAAGAAAAACCATAACCTTAACGAAATGAAACCGAACTGCTTCAATAGCTCCAAGCATACGACCTATTTTCCAACATACAATAGGCTCATCCATTGCATTGTCATGCAACACTTCAATTCACCAATCATTTGATACATTCGTATTATCTACATCACGGTCCATTTCAACAAACTATCTGTGTCAAGCAAGAAGAAACTCGCAAGATTAAACTGGCGCTTGCAACTCCAGTATGGTCATTGCCATCTCCCCATGCATTCAAGATGCATTGTTATTTGGCAAATCTTTCATATCAGATTACATGGCTGTTGAACCTATTTTTATGGCTTGCGGAGCCTAAAGTAGGAAGCTAGCGCAGGACACTGACCTGATGTATATTGCCTACCCATGAGCTCCAACTTTTCAAGTCGAAAGGGAATATACAGTCAAAGTAGGATGTATGTGCTATACTTCGACACAACTGACGCTGTGATGTAATGAGACCAATCAAGCAGCGTCAAAAGCGCTAGCCACTAGGCCTTTTCTGTTTGTGATTAGTTCAGCGACGGCAGAACACAGACACAGAAACATGATGAACACCTTGATAGTGCGCATTTGATGCTGTCTTATTCAACAGATAGCATCGGCTGCGTCTGGGCTTAAGGTAAAACGAAGTACAGTAGCCAGGCATCCAGATCTGTACTAACTTTAACACATCACACAGAAACAAGCATGATCATTTACGCTAAATGAAACACGCACGAGACGTCGGTGTAACAAAATAAAACATGGTTTATTCTTTTTCGCCTGCTTCGGGAGCAGTTATTAAATGCGACGCAGTGAACTCACAGGTTGTTTCAGTCCACAGTGGGCCAACTCTATCTAGAAACCAGTCTCTGTGCATCTCCGAACTTTCCAGCTGGCAGAAGTCAGATATGTTCTGTTGTAACCTCTTCCATGATGCATGCATTATGTTCTGCAGCCTTCGTACCACTGGGTGTGGCTTGCGAGAAGTTGAACAGAGGTAGTACTGTTGACAGTAAACTGCATGCAAGGGTTTTCCCACCCCACTACCAACACCAGTGTCCCCAAAAGTCGTTTTGTCATTCCTCTTCTGTGCCAGGTACTTTCCAGGACAGATTCCTGCCGGCCTCGTACATTTCCTTCAGGGCTTCTATCACCTTGCCATCTTTCTCGAGCTGTTGGTACTTCCGGTACAAGCGAAGCGCTGTCTTGGCATCTTCGATGGAGTCGTGCATCTTCGACTGGATCTTGAGGCCTGCGTGAGGTAACAACAGCGAAGAAAGCGAGACTAATATTTGTTTCCCAGTCTAACTGCAAGTCTTTCCTAAATACATTATTTTTTCTACAAAGCATAGAGTTTGAGTAAAATGTTTCTCCAGAAACATTTCTTTTTGATGTATGTACCGCAACAAACGAAAGAAACTCCAATAAAAAAGCAGCAATCGTGCGACATCCACAAGGCTATCTGGACAGCAATGAATGAACACAGTACTACCCCAGGGTTGCTTACATTATCCGGAAATTCTGTTTCAAGTACTATTTGTATTCCTTTTAGCCACGTGAGAAAGGGACTCCACTATAATCATGCTTAACTTTAAGGGCGATTCCGCTCAATTCCTGTATTTGAAAAAACAATATAGTCCTCTTCAGTATCACCTAGGAAGGCCACGTGGCAAATATTACGACCTAGTTCTGTCTAAATGTTTGTTTCTTAAACGGTCGGGCAAACTTTGGAACGCGCCAAGTTGCCGACAAGCGGGCAAATCGAGACGCAATCAAAAGCGCAGTCAAGGCTACGGCGTTGGCGTAGCCAGCTTTTAGCTAAACGTCGTAAACATTGTCCCTCTTTGTTTGTTTTTACTTCTCTGGGAAAGTGTAACGGGTGACACTTCCTCTCGGTGCTAGGCGGTGTCCACGTGATTGCGCAGCGAGCTTCTTGGGAGCCGTCCGGCGGTCCCACCGTCTTCTGCGTCACAACCGCCGCTGTCGTCTCACTGTCTGTGATTGTGGTCTCTCTGAGTTTTGTTCACACTATGTGCGCAGACTGATGCCACAGTTGTACAGACGTCGTCGGATATCGGAGACACCAAAACATGGCGAAGGCTGCGGTGCAGACGGCACCTGCGCCTGGCACATGCCCGCCCCAACTGTGTCCCACTCCAATCCTGCCCGTTATCGCATAAAGGATCACGTGACATCTCGTACCACGTGGTAGCCATGTTTTTGGCGGCCCAAGGCTAATGTTGCCCGACGGAGCCGAAGATTCACCCTCAATTTCAGCTTACGTTTCAATTAAAATTTAAAGAAACAATGACACACACCCAAAAACACTTTTTTTATTTTTTTGCCAGACAATTTATTATGGTGTCAGAAGACTACCCAATTAATATTTTCCTACAGCGTCACATATGTTTTAATAAAGTCAAAAAACGCAATTTCTCAGAACCAAAACTGGAACCTGGACTGGGGAGGAAGAAGAAATATAGAGGACAAGAGAGTTGGCAAAAGCCACATTTTTTTTTTTTTCAATGATTGTTTTTGCATTTGTTTAGAAGCCACAAAAATGGGTATCATATTTTTTATTCTATTTTTAATATTGGGTGTGTGCCTTCGATGACCCACAACTTTGATTATATTTGGTGGTTGCTTCTAAACCATAGAGAATGGCACGTGACCACAGAGAAGAGAGTGAGTGCGATTCAAATTGGCAAGTTCTAAAAACGCATAAATCCCCCTTTCTCACTTTTTCAATGGCAGGTTAGCCTTTAAGAATGATGAAAACAGCAGGTGTTGTGTTTATGCAGGCAAGCCAAGCACAAGGGGTACTTACCTAAGAAATGCCAAGCCAAGAACCGTAACGACACCATCCTTTTGTTGGGCAGTTGGAAAAGGAGCACAGTGTCTATCACCTGTTCAGGAGGTACCTGCATAGACAGGAAGGATGCTGCTATCAGGCATTTCGAAATACGAAAACGATAAGATGCGCAAAGGGCTATTTAGCAACTCCCAACTACAGTCGGTGACAGTCCGAGTTCAGGAGAAGCTCCTCCCACCTCTTTTCGCTTTAGCAGAGCGAAAGCTGGAGAGGAGGTTTTAAACAATGACATTTTCAATTGACCACCCAGATGACGTTTGTGTCACGGTGGCTGTGCAGCAAATTTGCAAGATGTTGCAATCTTTCTATTTCTGTAGGAAAGCTAGGTGGTGCCTGCTTTACTATTAGATTAACAAAAACTTTACCTCTTTCAGCTAAACAAGAAAGCCCGATTCTTTTTAAGTTTCCTTCACACAGGCATAAAAACTGCACCTTCTAAACTTCCTAAATGTGGTGGACACTCGCAAAACTATGGTTTACCTATAATGCTTTAGAAGTTACAAATGCCAGGGCCGGGCCCAAAGCAAATATAGTAGTATTGTAAGAAGGTTTCTGAAAAGTTGATTTCCTGTACAACTCCAATCCAATGCCTATAGTATTATCTCGTAAAAAAGAAAAAAAATGGCATTCAGACTCTCTCCTGCCCATCCAGCTGCGAAAGTTTGTAAGTACCACGAGATTGATGACCCTGAAGTCGTTCTTGAGGCCGTGACCAACGAATATGACCCCTTCGTCCATGAGGTAGCGCAGCTTCTGGTAGGTGGCCTTCAAGGTCGTGAGGTGCTTGGACGAAATGGTCACGTCCAAGTCACCCGGCTGGATGCCCGAGAACTGCGTCAAATAATCAACCACCTGCAGAAAAAAAGACAGACAAACGTTAAAGTTGTCAGCATAAACATCTCTTTCACATTTGAGGTATTCCCTAAGGATCTATAGCAGCTTTTTTGGCAAGCAAATTACAGCCGAAATTATGTTGCGCCTGCCATAGGTGCACTGTATTTCATCCCCTAACATCAAACTGAAAGATTCAAGCAAATAAAGAGACCCAAGCAAGCTGTAAGAAGAAAGGTTGAATCGAATTATTCACTGTTGTGGAATTGTAGCAGTCTCGTCCCTGACTTAGCATGCCAGAAGCATTCCAAGCAACACTTTGCCCCTTCGTCTGCTAATTGGCTGTGCCAGATCATAGTGCTGCCCATTGTACACGTGCACATAAAAGAGCAAAAGCAGAAGTTGTAAGAAACACTCGCTTTTGAGCATTGTGAGCATTATTCCAATGCTCATGTTGCAGCATCCCTTTCAGCAGTGCTTGGAACTAAACCAGTGCGGTGCGCAAGTTTGTCTGCTTCTTTTGCAGGGGTTGTAGTGACGTCAGAAGGCCAAACTCCGATTGGCGGTCATTGAAAGATAGTGTGTAGACCTCAAAGCAGGCTGCCCTAGAGATCTACCAACTATCCTTCAATCAGAGCCAATTGGAGCTTGGCATATCATCACAACCCCTGCCAAAGAAGCAGACAAACTTGCACTCCGCTTAAGAAGAAGATCACTCACCTGTTCTTGAGTTGCAATGTAGTCGTCTATGAAGGGCACGCCTTCGAGAGAGCCCTGACTGAAAAGCAAAAAGGCAATGCAGTCATCTCATCCAGCATACTATATACTAGTAAAAGTAAATGCAGGTTTCAATGTCATAAATTAATGTGATGGTTGTCTAATATTTTGTCAAGTAAAATGCACAAACAGTCACCTCCTCCTACCTAGTGACCTTGATAGAATAATCAAAGGATGCAATGAATAGTAAATGTTACTAAACCACACTAGCTTACCACCACGGGAATCACTTTTCTTCAATGCTGCCAAAACCGCATAAATTGATCACTCTACGTTGCTGCCCTGAAGGCTATTGATATATCTATGAGCCTGCCCATAAATATGCTCCTCTGCGCAACAATAGAGGCAGTAATGCTAGAACGTCCTTAAAGCTACAAAGAAACATAATTGTTAGCATTCGACAGACACACATTACATGAACAACATTGTACCAACACCAACAATACTCTGAAAATGTGAAGCAAGGGCAACAGCACTTTTGAGCGATACCACCTTCATCGAGTGCTTTAATGCATGGCAGTTACATTACACCACTCAGAAATGAAACAAAATAAATCTAAAAGTAGTTCCATATCTCACCCTCGAAGGCAGGATATGCGAGCGACGGACATGTGTGAAGGACGGATCGTGGACCGTGTCCCGTCGCTCCGAATCTCCGCTTCTTCCTGCGAGTAATTGTGATCATTGCCATAATCACAATCACGATTCATCAAAAATATGCAGTGAAACCATATGGAGCAAACTGGCACTACCACCAAAAAGATACAAAATGCTCGACTAACCTTGATCCTACAGTAAGAGTTGGTATACAAAGAACCCATTGAGTTTGTTCACTTCCACACCCTCCCACAGCTCTTTCGAATATTTTCCGCAACATCAAATCACGTAATATAATCCCGTGATATGGTACCGCAGTTACCCACATACACTTCCTGCCTTGATGTAGCAAAGTTATATCTCTTTACAAATCTGCCCTTCAGCACGGTCGTAGAGCGTCGGACTGAGAGTTTTGGGATCCTGGGACTGATTCTCGTTGGGAGACGTTCAGAATTTCCTTCTTTCTTCTCCTCCATTTATCACTATTTCTGCTCCATTGTGTATTCTTTTGCTTCCCCTGGAGTCCACGCCACACATTTGGTGTCGGTTCTTCGTGGCGTTCCATCATACTTTCCTCAAGAGATCCCATCCCTTAAGCACATCCCGTGTTAAGTTCTTACATAAGGGCGAGGATATCCTGCCCGTAAGTACCAGGATGATAATATTGACTCGAATGAAATTATTTTTTAGAATACTACTGTATGGCAATTACTTTATTGATATTCAGAAATATGTTGCATATGCAAAACTTCGATAATGCAACTAGTATAAAACATAACAAATCCTTGTGCCCCGTTGATGAATGGAACGGCCTATTTATGGGGGATACTGTATATATTGAAAATGTCAAGTTTTCTTGATAACATTTTTGATACATATGTTAAGGATGAGTCATGCCTTTAAAATGCCTGCCTACCAACCTCCCTTGGCCTCACTGCTGGCAGTCTGTTAGGGAGCGACAAGAATTTTCGGTGCCGGATCTGTAAAAAATTGCTTTGCCTCGCAAATAGCTATTTTAAAATCTGCAGCTATTTTTCTTCTGATCTACCAAGTTTCAAATTTTGCAGACCAATATTTGAGCCATAATATAAATTTATACTGTTTTTATGCAGGCTGAATTTGCATTGAAATTCTTGCTAAAATAGTGCTTTCTCAGAATGCAAACCTTTTACTCTTAGCAAATTTGCAGGGAGGATATCACAGCATCTAGGGCAGATAGAAATATAATTTTTTCTGCAGCATACTTAAATGTATAAAGCATGCAATGTTCAGAACAAATTTTTCAAAATGCATTAAGAAAATTTGTTTAAATTTATCTATTGCGTTATTACATGGCAACCACACATTGAGCACCAAACTTCAATGTCTTGTAAAACCCATAATGATGGTTCAGTATAAAACATACTTCCAACATTGTATTCTTTAAGTATCTAGCCATTTATTAAACATAATTTTTTGTCGAGAAGATTGCTCCCTATTGGCTTTGCAGATCATGGCATGCAAGTTTTAGTTATTTTAGGGAAAAATCTAACTGCTGAAAAAATTATCACATACTTTAAATCACCAATAGGAACAGCACACACTTCTGTAGTTTCATTGGGTTTGGTAAAAACTAAAAGCAAAAAACTTGAAGACCAGTGTTTCCCCTTAAAATAAAAGAAATAAGAATAAAAATTACATAAAAGCAAGGACTGCTGCAGGCATAGCTGGAGCCAAAAGAGGTAACCACTATTATTATGTGATAATAGTTGTTACCACTACATTATGAATACCCAACTCGCCCAAGCATCCATTCTAAGAGGTAGCCACTGTCTCTCAACTTGGACGCCAACACTTTCAGCCCAAATAGGGGGGAACAAACCTGGTTGAGGGTGACAAACTCGGCGTCCATGGCCACGATGTCGCCCCGCCTCAGAATCTCGTTGGCAGTGAGGGGCTGAAAGGTGACATGGCGGCGCCCACCATCAGAAGCCAGGGACATGTCTTGCAGGAACACGTCCACCGTCAGGGGCGTCTTGACTGGAACGGGCGCCAAACTATTTCACTCACTGCAGAAAACAAACTTGGCACTTTGCTAGAGTTACAACTGCATTGCCAAAACAGCCCTGGTTATTTCTTTTACTGTCACTGTCTCATACCACCATTTTACCCCCACCAACCTAATAAGTTCAGTCTCAATTACATCAAGTTCATAAGGTCCCAATTTCATTGCGCAGAACTAATGCATTTTAGAGCGTGGCTCTCAGGCACCCATTTCCGGGCTGAGTGCTGTTGGCGTCAATGTAACCGCGGGTGTTGCATTATGGGACGTCACAGTTTCCCCACTAAATTTAGCGGGGAAACTGAATTGGTGTTGAGGTCACGCGACATCAATATACTTGCTAAGTTTAGCGAGGAAACCTAACCCGCTAAATTTAGCAGGGAAATTTTTGCTAAATTTCCGACTAGATTTAGCGGGAAAATTTTCTCTAAATGTTTTGCTAATTTAGCAAGGACATTTTTGATAAATTTCGTGATAAATTTAGCGGGGAAATTTTTGCTATATTTCCCACTTAATGGAAGCGGGGGGGGGGGGGGAGGAGGAGGAGGAGGATGAGGGGGAGGAGAGGCATACCTTCCCTCCATATCCTCCACTCCTCCTCCCAAAGAGCTGCGCTCTAATTTCACATTACAGAGGATCGTAAATGTGTTTAATTTTCTTTTCAGTCATTTCTTTATCGCACATCAGAAGAGGGTGATAAAGATGCACTCAGAAGAGTGCATCAAAAGAATGCAATGCTGCTGGCAGCATCAGTTGAAGGTCACCAACAGTTCAAAAATGCCAAAGCTTATATTGTACAAATAGTAACTCCATGCACTTTGTTATTTCATCACTACAGTTTGTGACCACTCTTCTCTCTAATGCCTTAGGCCCTGAGGGTAGATGAAATAAATAAATAAATAAATAAATAAATATTCTGTTCCAGCTTAACTTAACAAATGGTGAAAGCCACAACCCCAGTGAGCCAATCGGAGCTTCGAAGTGAAATGCAAGACAATGCACCGTGAAAGTACACTTTGCTTGCTGAGAGTTGCAACAGGCTTCGCCCTGTCACTCTGGCTGGCTTACGGTGGTCATAGCATTTACCTTTTTGCCAAGTTACAAAGGGTGTCAAACAGTTGGTAAAATATGTGTGGAATCTTTCTACGAATCTGAGCACTGCATGGTTTCATCAGGACCAGCTTTGGTTCCCTAGCATTTTGGTAAGATGTTGAAAGATCACCAATGGAAACACTTTCAGAGCTTACTAAAGAATTCTATAACTGCAAAAATATTTATGACTAAACTGGAATTTTTTTTTAAATTATGATTTAATGAACATAAAGTACAAAAATACATAAAAAAAATAAAGAGACACATGCAACAAAAAAAAAAAAAAAAAAAATTCACAGGGTCTTTTATATTATCTCTAAGACGACTTGAAGGCAAAAGCCCAAACGCCGATGGATTAAAAACACACACATATAGCCGGGGCAGAACGCGGCTGGCGCCATCTGCGATGACTCTCCACAGGCGTGCCCAACATGGCGCGCTACTCGGTAGATGTCAGCGTTGCACACTGCTTGTAAAGCAACTGGCACTGGCAGCGCGCAGCCGATGCAGCAACCGATGCATTAAAGACAGACACATGATTTACGGATGTGGCAGTACCCCTCCGCTTGTGGCGGAGGGGTACTGTGTAGGAAGGTTGCTGGCTCGACGCCAGCGAGGGGCAAAAGCGAAAACTCTTTTTGGAGGGACGATTATAACACAAGTAACGCCATCTCGTGGTTTAGTGGTGAACCGTGGGTTTTTCTACCTTTCATGTCGCCGGTTTTAGTACCTTTCGTGTCTCAACGGGTTTTCGCTCAAGGACTTTGAAGGTCGACTGAACGATGACACATAAGGCTTTTGCCTTATTAATAATTAAATCAGGGGTTCTCACACTGGGTTCCGGGGAACACAGGGGTTCCACGAGTTGGTCTCATGGGTTCCACAAACACCCAAATTGCAACCCCCCCCCCCATGCCGCAGGCTGTGCGGCAGGACCATGCAAAGCACCTTCATCTCACTTTGTACTGACATTGCGATCGATATGGAGGGGATATATGGGAAGCAACACAAGCAGAATCGCCCTCAGTTGTGCATCTGTTGCTTCTCGGTCGGCAAATATGGAGGGGGGGGGGGGGGGGGGGTTCCGCAGCAGTCTTTGAAGCTTCCTGGGGTTCCGTGAGGCCAAAAAGTTTGAGAACCCCTGAACTAAATAAAGCTATATTTGGCATCTCATCAAAGATTAGGGAGCTAACCTAGTCTGTCTAAGCACTGTCCACTATGCACTGAAACTCCACTGCTAAAGTCAGTTCGGATCAAAAGTGTGGCCACAATGTCTTGTTGCAGATAAGCTAACGACTTGTCTATTAGGGTTGAAGGCAGACAATATGCGTTGGACATGCCCCAAGTTTGAATAAACTGAACTGACGTTTACCAAATAGACCACTTTGATCGAGTGTCCTATGCCCATGAATGCAACTAAAATGAAGTATACATTTACAGCAGGTTTCATTGCATGCCTTTACAATGAAAACAACAACCATGTTGTACCTGTTGTCCGGTGTTTGGAGGCCAGGTCGACGCAGCTGTAGTAGAGGACGCATGGGAGCTTCCAGTCGAGGGGAAGCCACACTGCCTCTTCCTGGAAATAAGGCAAGTTCAAAGAAGATTTATACGCATCTTTTATGATCGTTATTTGCAATTCAAAGAGTTTTTTATGACTATGAGAGAATATGTGAACTAATTGGCTTATACTCTTTGTATAATAGACGGATGATGCGTGATTTTATACTTTTGCATAAGGTTGTTAATGGTGTTCATTACACAGCGCTACTGAATTGTGAATATTTACATATTCCTCGAAGCTCTAGTTGTGTACGCTCGTTTTCTTATCCTTCCATTTTTTCGCAACACGGATCCCATTACCCGTGTGCAACTGGGTTCTAACAAATTCAAATCCAACTTAGATAAATTTGATACTCATAGTTTTGAATGCCAACAAACATTTAGAAAGTGCATCGATGACGTCTTCCTTTCATTCTGACATGTCAACATTTTTTCCTGAGATGTGAATCCTTCTTATTAAGACTTAGTGCACCACTAAAAAGGTGTACAGCTGTTTGAAAGGCACTGAAAATAAAGCAAATGAAAATTAAAATAAAACAGGGGTTTGAGACAAGGGGAATGTGCTGAGCAGGAATGCCACTTGAATCTTAATCCCACAGATAATGTCGGAAGAAACAAAGCCTGCATTCGAAAGATGCATAATTTGTTTTGTAAAGTTATTTAATTGTTATTATTAATTAATGTTAATTAATTAGCGGGACGTAAGTTCGCTAAATTTAGCGGCAGTCTCATGGTTTTCCATGCCGCTCTTTCGTAACGCTGCAGTCACCCTGTGGACACCAGCCTTAAAAATATACAGGGTGATCGGAAAATACTGTCCCGCAAAAAAAACAGCCCTAACTTTTCACTCAGCTAAAAAAAAAACGTTTTATGCACCGAAAGAGCAGAAAACTCTGCATATACTTAATACAATGAGCTCCCGGTAGGTTGCATTGTTAATTTTTCGCCCCCTTTGGGGAAAATGCCAGTTTGGTCTTGCTTAATCCAGATATCCCAGCTTAGACCATGACAGACTTGGGAAAATTGACATTTTCTGCATTCACAGCGCACAGAGCTTCTTTGGGGAGCAGTTTGCTTTGATTCTGCGTATTTCAGTGCAGTTCAACGGTAAAGATCTTCTTGTCTGTGAAAAGAATCCCTAGAAGGGCGTCGCCGCATTCCCCACTTGTCATGTGCAACAATCACGGCACGGCCTTCTTCGGATACCATTATTCCTAAAATTCAAGAACAAAACTACAGCAAAAACAACAATTCATAAACCAAAATACGCGAGAAACGAATAAAACATCAGTGGCTAGCAAAAATGTGAGAAAATAAAAATCAATCTATGCTCCAAGCAGAGGAAAGTATTTTCCGATCACCCTGTGCATGGTAAATTCCAAATTTCAGTCATAAGGACATTAATGTTATGCTCCAAAATAAAATGAAATGCCTTAGAGTAGTGCTATACTTTCTATTTTTCGAGAATGCCTCCTTGTACTTCCTTTTTTCATCACATACATAGAGGCATTTCTAAATAATATTTAAAATATTAAATATTATGGATCACCATCAGGTCCAACTTCCCCCCCTTGTCAACGGCATTTTTAAAACTCTCATTCCGTAAATGTACAATAATGTGCTCTTTTTACGATTAACAGTCTCTCTCAGGAGGATGTTTATACTAAAACAAGAGCAGCGATAGATCAGAGCAACTGTTCTTTTTTGGCAGCTTTCTGGGTTCCTTCTCTAAAGGAAGCGTCACAGTCTGCCTGGAACCTCTTGTAGATGACAAAACGTCAGGCCTTCGCTCACCGGCGAGATGGGGACGATGGTGAAGTCGTTGAAAAGGTACCACTGGCTGGCGGCACCGCCCTGGTGGTGCAGGTGGTACGAGGGCCCCACTCGAACGCAGCTCACAATGTTGGTGCGCGTGTTGTTCACCACGGACACCACCGCCGTCAGCTCGTAGAGCACCCCGGAGTCCCCACTGTCCATCTCCGGTGCGCTGCCCATGAGTTTCTTCTCCCGACGCTTCGAAGGCTGTTCCGTTGCCACCTTTGTCTCGGGAGCTGGCTCCACCTAGGGTTCCGTCAAATGGGGTTAGGTTCCCTTTGAGCTAAGAGAAGGCTTCGATTCGGTTCATTAACTGGAACTCTCCCACAGATGATATCGCACATATTTACTTCTGTAAATATGTGCTTGTTTTTTTAGAGCGCAGCTCTTAGGGGCCCGTTTCCAGCCTGAGCGGCGTCGGCGTCGCCGTTGGCGTCGCCGTCGGCGTCGCCGTCGGCGTCGGCGTCGCCGTAACCGCGCCCCTCCCTCTCCTCCTCCTCCTCCTCCTCCTCCTCCTCTTCCTCCTCCTCCTCCTCCTCCTCCTCCCCTCATTGTCTAGTATGGTTCGGGGGGTCACGTGACCTCGGGGGGGAGGGGGTCACATGACTTCAGCGGGGGGTCACGTGGCCTCGGGAGGGTCACGTGACTACCCCCTCCCCTCCCCCCCCCCCCCCCCCCCCCCCCCGAGATCACGTGGCCCCCGCGAGGGGAAGAGGAGAACGCAGGGGAGCAGGGAGGATGAGCAGGGAGGATGAGCATGAGTATATTGGAAACGCAGTTTCCAATATACGCCACGGTTTTTCCCCAATCAATAAAATTTCAACCCTCCAAAATATTTGTCCTGACTCTATATTTCAGAGCACAGCTCTTACGCGACCCTTTCCGGCTTGAGCGGCAAGGAGGAAAGCAGTACGAAGGTGGAGGAGGGGGGGAGGAGAGACGAGGAGGCGGAGGCGAAGGGAGGGGAGGAGCTTGAAGGACGAGGAGGTGGTAAAGGAGAGGGAGGGGGAGCAGGAGGGGAGGAGGACTAGCAGGCATGATCACGAGGGAGGAGGAGGAATATACCCTCCACTCCTCCTCCTCAAGAGCTGCGCTCCAATTCGGCGTTACAGGGAGTTGTAAACGGCTTTCACTTTTTTTTATTAATTTATTTGCCAATTATGATTACCCGAAAGTGCCACTCACCTATGTGTATGTATATTCTGTGTTAATTGACATGTGAATAGTGTTTATTCTATTTCATATGTTGCTCTGTGTTCAGCACATTTAGATTGTTGCTTTTCTCCTGCCTGCCCCTGCTGCCTCCCACCCCCTTTCTGCTTCTCATGTAATACATTCTTGATGGGTGCCCTGGAGAGTATTAAAGTTGAACTTGACCGATACATATATTTAAAAGCTTAGGTGCCAAACCAATGAAAAGAGCCTAGAATACCCCAGCGAAAGATTGAGGATTAATATCAACCACCTGGGGATCTTTTGACATGAACCCCAAATCTCAGTAACACAGTCTTCTCCGCAATAAGCCACCGTCAGACTGCGGATGCCTCGGCCAGGATTCGAACGCACCAAAGGGATATTCAAAGGCCGGCACTTTACCTAGGAGCCACCGAGGTGGCTTCGGTTCGAACGTGTCTCATAGAACTGGTGGTGTAAAACACCTCCTAGCTAGCGGCAGTACTGCCGCAGTAGGATTTACTGAGGTAAAGCATGTTTAAAGGAACTGTGAAATGGAAGCTAGCAGCAAGAAACCAGATAAGCCTTTTTTCTCATGTTCAGTTATCTCATCGTCATGACACCCCCCCGTCCCCCACGTGACGTACGAGGGTTCCAAAAAGCCATTGGCTGCAGCATTTTTTTCATTTTGCCCATTACTTCTGGAACTCTTGGAACCTTCAGCAAGCCAAACTGAACAGATAATGTTGGCGGGAGATACTTGTTAGCTTGTCTGCTTAATTAAAGGGGCAGTGCAATAATGTGTGAACTTCGTGCAAATCATAGTGGCAGTTGTTCCCTGCCACGTCTGGACTACAGAACTAAAAGCCAGGCTGCACACATTCATTTTTTTTTTTCATATATATATGTCAAATAATTGACGTTTTGGGTGCCTCCATACCACTCTCAACTCTTACACCATTTTCCGAGTCACGTGCGCAGTGACGTGCAACGGGGACACGGATAACCCGGTTAATTTTCTTTCAAGGTCCCCAGCATGCATGGCGTCTGCTTGCGATTGACATGGCGACCTGAAGGTTGGTCTCAGCCTGGTCTGAGTGATGTCGAGAAAGGGGGGGCGGGGGGGAAGCGCGAGCTTTGTTGTAAGGAAGTTGGACACTTACGTAATAGCGAAGAAGTGACGCTCAAAAAATAAATAGTTTTTTTCACCTCAAGCAGACTGTGCCACTGAAACTGAGCATATAAGTAGAAGTACAACTTTGTCAATGATATGAGGTTTTTGATGACTGACATGGAAACAGCGCACCCTCAAAACAACTGCTCTAAGTTTTCATGCACACAAAAGAAAGAACCACTTACACAGCGCTGACTGACAACTCTATGTTATATTTACAATTTTCGTTTTCGTCTTTCTTTGGGACTAGGGTTTCTATGACAAAAATTGCCCTTTTCTTCTTCCTTTTTTTCTGTGCTTTTGTAATAGGAAGCTAAACCATAAAATTATTGTATGGCTAAAAACAAAAACAAATTAGTCGTTAGTTGTTTATACAGCGGGAGTTTAGTCTGCCAGAACATGGCGACATTGTTACCCACTGTAGATGAGCAATGTAGCCAGTGCGGTACAACCGCTAGCCTGGGGTCTTTAACGTGCACCACGCAGTAGTGATACACGACCGCATGCCGGTACGATGCTCATCCAGATCGAGACGGGCAGGGCTCGAACCCAGGATCCCTGGGTTCTGCAGCGCGAGCTTTCGCTCCACGCGCGTCGAGCTGGGTGTGCGCTTTAGCCCACTCGGCCACCGATCCCCCCTATTGTATGGCTAAGCTTCCTATGGTTTAGCTTCCTATTACAAAAGCACAGAAAAAAAGGAAGAAGAAAAGGGCAATTTTTTGCCATAGAAACCCTAGTTCCAAAGAAAGACGACAACGAAAATTGTAAATATAACATAGAGTTGTCAGTCAGCGCTGTGTAAGTGGTTCTTTCTTTTGTGTGCATGAAAGCTTAGAGTGCTTGTTTTGAGGGTGCGCTGTTTCCATCTCAGTCATGAACAACCAACTCGCCCGAACCTCCGTTTTAAGAGGTTTTTGATGCATTTAGTCATTTTGAAACAACAATATTTATAAAATATAGCATTATATTGAGCACATAATGGCACATCTTGCCAACTTATTACAATGCCTCTAGGAATTCACCTTGCCTTTATGCTCCCATGGCCGCCATACGACGGCTGCAAATCACAAAATATTTCCGTTCTTTGCTTTGCTATTACACAACGTAATCAAGATATTTTAAAAGAATGAGGCAGTTTTTTCATCCCTTTTGGTAAGATGAACAATGTAAAAATTTAAAACTGCAAATCTTTTCGAAGTTAGGAGTGTTGCTTCATCTCTTTAAGGTTTGAGTGCATCCAGTTAGCGATTAAAACTGAAATTTGAGTAGGAAAATGAATTGGAGGCTCTTGAACGCAGTCCTGTGGCAAAAACACTAACAAATAGTTATTCCTGTGCCGTGCTTTATGAGCATTAGTTAGTACTTACTCTAAGAACTAGTGAAAAAAAGTTTTACAAAATCATTTCATGGTTCCTTTACTAAGCAGAACCTTTTGGTTCTGCTTAACCCTCTGCCTACCGCAAAAGGATTGAAAAAAAAAAAAAAAAACAATTTAAAAATATTGATTTTTTTAATGTGCCCTATAAATTTAATATTCAATACAAATGCCAAAACAAATGCAAAAAAAGTATTTTTAAAGAAATCTTTGAACACACTGCAAAAGAAAAGGGGGCTAAAGTTTGGCTTCGCTGCATTACTGTAGACAATTCACATCACCTTGCACATGGACGTTAAGGCCGTGCGTAGCAGTACCGCAGACAGTTCACATCACCTTGCATGCAAAGTGAACGCAAAAAGTGGAGGGGCTGGAGGGGGATTTTTACGTTGATTCTTGTCCAATACCGACACGCCGACTAGATTTCCTCATCGGAATCGGAGCTGTCTGAGCAAAAATCCAATAACTCAGTTGCATCGCACTCGCTGTCCGATGAAAGATGCGTTTCCTCGTCTTCCGAATCTGGAGAGACATCACAATATCTTCGTTTTTGCCCCAATTTTGAGGCAAGATCGTCACTACGAACGCAACGACCGGACGTTGACGCCGCCATTTTTTAAATCCCCTGTTGCCTGCGTTAGAACAATTTTCTGCCAAATTGAGAGATCTATACCACATTTTTATTTTCCGTGAAGCACCTTCTATCTACGGCAAAGCTAACTGGAAACATGTGGACTAGCCCAGTTCGTCCATAGTAGCGCATTGGAGCCCGAATCAACTTGACGAGCCCAGCTCGTCTTCGGGGGGGGAGCGGTACAAACTGTGTGGACGAACTCAGGTAGGGAAAGGGTTAAAATTCAGACCTGAGTAAATGTCACCTTGATTTTCTATGCATTGAAAGTGGTCTTCTTTTTTTCCAATAAGTGAAACTTTTGAAACAATGTGTTCCAATCCTTTGTAGTTCTTTTTAAAGAGATTCTGCTGCGCCACCTCTGAAGATCAGTATTTTGCTACAATGAAACATAAAACAAAAAAAAAAAAAAAGATGAAAAGGGCAGACTGTAAGATAACAAAATTAAGATCTGTCTTTCTTCATGACCTCTCACACAATTTAGTTGAACAATAAGTCTGCCTCTCAGTTAGCGAAAGCTTACTTCGTAGCTTGTACGAAAGCTAGAACCTTGGACACAGTGGCCGTGTTGGCTCTGCCGTAAAGGAAAACATGGCCACATTAAACGAGCTGAATGATGTTAAACACAGTATGGAATGTTTGATCTAACCCCTTACCTTACAGTCAGAGCGTGAAATGGCCACTGTTCCATCTTCGTTGAGTTTGATGTGAACGGATAAGGGAAGCCATGAGCAGGCCGTGCGGGAACTCGAGTCTGTGTCCGTCTTGAAAATAACGTACCTGGAAAAGGGACGATAAAAAATCACCACTGGATGACCTGTCTTGTCAACTAGGGACTTCTATGGTTTGTTGCAGATTAAAAGAACACTAACACCCTTTAAAAAAAATTATTATTTTTTGCCAGACAATTTATTATGGTGTCAAAAGACTACCCAATCAATATTTTGCTACAGTGTCACATACATTTTCAAAGGGCAACTCCACTCCATTTGTTATATTTAGAAAACTATGTAGCCCTCTTCAGTATCATACAGGAAGACCCCATGTCAAATATTACGATCTTATTCCGTCTATATATTTAATAAACTGGCCAGCAAACCTTCAAGTGAGCCAAGTCGCCGAAATCTGCCAACTCTGGCGTGCAACGTGAGGCGCAATCGTCAGCGCAGTCAATGCGACGGAGTTGGAACGGCCAACGTTGAGCCACTACGTCAGAGGCATGACTACGTCATTCTCACATTTTGTTGGTTTTTACTTCTCAGAGCAAAATTGAACGATGACATCATGAGTTTCTCCTTCCGGTGTTGGCTGAATGGCGTCCACGTCATTAACATAACACAGATGCGCTAGTTTGCGCTGCCCTGCACTCTTTTCGGTCTGTTTCTTCGCTCCCCCTCTCCTCTTCTGTCTTCTCCCCTTCCCCTCTCCCTTGGGCCATCACCGTCCTTGCCATGCGAAGCGACCTGCCCGCATCGCGTGTCCTGTCCCTCGCCCCCCCCCCCCCCCCCCCCCCCCCCCCCCAAACGTCACAAGACCATGTGGTTCGATGTGACACGGTCTAGACTCTGGCGACACAAGAGCAATGTTGCCTGATGCAACCGAAGTTTCGGTTTCGGTATCAGCTGATGTTTAAATTAAGATTACACAAATATTATTTCACATTCCGAGAATCTGAAGGCGTAGAGCTGTTTAGTAGTGCTTTGTGAAATGGAATCACATGTAAGCCTAAATTTTTTGGAATTGAGCGGAGTTGCCCTTTAAGCAAGTAAAAAAACGTAGCTGCTGAAAACTGAAACCGAAACTGGACTGGAGTAAGAAGAAACATAAAGGAGGATAGAGTTGCCAAAATCACATAACTGTGTAGTAACCTTTTCTTTTCGATCAACGTATTGGCAGCTTTCTAGAAGCCATAAAAAATGGGTATCATTATTTATTTTTTTCTATTTTTAATATTGTGTCTGTGCCTTCGATGACCGATGACTTTGATTACATTTGGTGGTTGTGCCTAAACCACAGAGAACGGCACGTAACCACAGAGTAGAGAGTGAGTGCGACTCAAACTGGCCAGTTCTCGATCGGCGGTTTTCAGGCAGAAAGAAAACAATTCGAGCTTCACATTGTGTTCTGGGCAGATGAGCTCTCGTATGTCATGTACAGAAAAACCTTGATGAGCATGAATACCATGTGAGTGTCCCTTTAAGAAGAGCAGGACAAACCCCTCCCAAAAAATCATCCACTCTTTCCACCTCAGTAAAGTGACTGCTGAAGGCAAGTGGAGAAGAGCACCAAACATGTTGAGCAGGCAGCTTTCTGCGAGCCATGCGTTTCTTAATGTACGGCACACCATAGTATCACACAAAAGTTCCAATCCTGGGAATCTGCCGGTTCGGTCAGTCAGACTGCCTAAGAAAACACTTGCGACTCACTTTTTTCCCTTGTCCTTGTCGTGGAAGAACTTGCAGCCCGCCCGGGTGCAGCAGTTGCCATAGCGACAGCGCTTTGGCACGGGGGCCGAGCTGAAGGCCATGGGCTTACTGTCCTTGTTGCCAAACATCTGCCGTCGGGATTCGCAAGGTCCAAATTTATTTGTGTCGTAACATACTGGTTTTCATCTCGGAAACCGTAGCAGTGAAGTATGTTCGGCTCCTTGCACAGTGTTAGCACTACAACAGTTTTCCCCTTTGTGTGGCAAATTAATAAATAAAGATAGTTCTGAGCACATTCAAGATCAGTTGTTTCCTATTTTGTCGAAGAAGTTCATATTCCAAATGCAAAAAGGATCATCTTTTCTCTTTCGACCAAACCTCGTAAGAACAACTCAGTGATATGGTCGGTCCAAGTCCCAGTAAAACAACTTTGTTCTAAGAAAGAAAAGATTTACGGTATTGAGGAAGCTCAGTTCTTCGACGGTGGTCTTTGTACGCACCATCAACCGTGTTGATTAAAATGGGAATAAATCAATGTCCGCAAATTTTACAATACCATGCCTGATGCGACGTCACGACACGACCAGCCATGCATACTTGCGAAATCTGGCGTGAAGCTTTGCATTGATGTTCATAATTGATATAACGAATATTGGGGCATCTTTTAATTAAATAAATATCACATATCACTGTATTTCGGCCCTCTCTACGTGACCAGCGCACAAACTTAGTAATTTCCGGATATCACCGGACAATTCCTTTAATGATGACGGACAGTGCGAACTACTGCAAAGGGTTATTTTAAATGCAGAGCCTGAGGTAAACAAATAGTATATTCTACGAAAATCATGTCAAACTTTGTTTTACCTCAAGTGGGACCAATCAGACAGTGTCGCTTCGCTGCAGTGCACCAGTGCACGGTGAGAAGCGCGCTCAATACACCAACTCATGTTTACAAACAAACCGGAGCGCCTGAAGCGCCCCTAGCGGACACCACCGGCGCCGCGCAAGCGCGATGGGGGTGTCGGCAAGAAGCTCGCCGTCGCCCATAAACAAACCATTGAAATGCGATGTTGTCGGCGTCGGTGTGAGTCCCCACGCTCTTTTTGGCGTTGAAATTGTTGATTCTACGTCCTCCTAACGATGTCTGACTACTTGAGCGGCGTCAGCGAAATTACCGAGGCTCGTTACACCGCAAAACCTTGAAAAACTTCGCGTGAACTATCTGACATGCGGCGATTCATTCCGCGTGGACGCCGCAGAATGTACGCTAAAGCCTGATTCACATGATGAGATTTCGCTCGCAATTTTCAGTAGCGACGTCGCTCGGACTGCAAAAGCGTGAACTGTAGCTGAGACGTCGACGTCGATACTGAAAATCACAAGCAGAATCTAACCAAGTGAATCAGGCATAACAAGTCGGTGATGGCCACTGGTAACAATGATCAACATCTCCTTGTATCTACTGTTTACGTCCAGCCTGCTTATCAACCTTCAAACTTAAGTCTTTTGAGGCCTGCACTTACTTCTTATCGCAAGTACCAGGCCCACGTGTGGTCTACGGGCCGGTGTCCTCTAAAAGAGCAGACGACAAGCAGAAACGTTTGAAAGAGCAGACGACAGTTCGAACGATCAGGCGGCCGTTTGAACTTGAAGGCGCACTGAACGTAGTCCGCAAGTGGTCCGTACAACTTGACGATTTTCCGGCGCTCATTTTGGAACAAAACAAATAAATTTGATGACCAGAAGTATCCGTGAATTCAACCCAAAATGCTTCCCGCCCAAGCAATCGTGGTCCAACGGCATCTGGTTTTCCCTTTTCACGGCACATATCCACGTTCTCGGACAAACCGAGCGCATGAAAACTGACCTTAACATCTTTCTCGACACTTTTGGTACAGCCCCAGTCACAGCGTTTTGACGAGAAGGCAGGTTTTTGTCTGGTTCCTTTCAAAACAATGCAGGAATACACGTCTCACATGGGCACTTCCGCCCACAGCCCCGTACCGAAAGTGCGTCCGACGTGCCACCACCGCGGCGTGACGTAACACAGATGAGTTTGTGTATAAAGGTATACCTAACCCTGTTTAACCCACCAGAGCAGAGCACGAACATGAGAATATTGCCCCCCTTCTGGGTACTGTCAGTGTTTAATACAGAGATAAGGTCAAGTAGTACAATATTGAAGGTCTACTGTAACGATATGGCCGTGTAGCGGGTCATATTAATAAAGTAAAATTACATTTTGGCGCAACGTCGGGGCAAATTCATCGCATATTGTCGAAATGTAGCAGGACATAGTAGCAGGGTCAGCCCTTTGGCGCAGTTTGGTGCAAACGGCACAGCAATTGCATCACTGACAACTTTGCGCATCATATAAATTGTGCATGAAGCTTGCCTTTTTTTTTTTTGAGGTAATGATAAGTATAACAACTAATTACAACGGTAAGGGTTATACATAAATTTTTCAGCACCACTCTTCTTACTGCATTTGTTTTTCTTTGTATCTTAACAAATGAGCTGTTATCCCAGTGCAGCAATAAGCATATGACAATTAGTGCACACCTCTTTCGATAAAGCTGAATAAATGGTGCCTCGGAGCAAGACCAATGGAGAAGTAGGGTCCCAAGGCCCAGCAATAGAATGCACCGCTACTCCTCGGAGCCCCACCTAAAATATGTTTTGACAACTAGCAAATGCTGTCTGAGCTTCTCAGATAGATGTTGCGTTAACTTACTAAGAAGTCTACTGAGTTATGCAAAATATCTTAAAATGCTAAGATTTCACAAAATTATCAAACAAATCACGAAAAGAAAAAAAATATTATGATGCCTCTGGACTCTGTTGCACCTTAGCACAAGGTCATAAAAAACCATCTTCGGTCTTCCCAGTTATCAAAAAATTCAAGCGATATAGCGATATATGCAGTGGCGGAGCCATGAAGTAAAGGGGGGGGGAGAGGGCTTGGTCCCCGAGTAGCCCCTCCCCCCACAATTTGCTCCCTGAGATCACAACCAACCAATAAAGCAAGAAACGAGGGAGGGGGGATACTAACGACATAAGGGCCCCAAGTGCCAGATGGCCTATCTACACCACTGGGTATACGAGTCTTAAATGACAACATCAAATTGAGAGATTAAAAATACGGCCCCAAAAAACACTGGCCTCACCGGGCCATTGGTCATCAATAAGACTCGGACCAGTTTTCCTGTAGGTGTTGACCGAATTTTATGTACTACCTACCGTATCTACTCGAATATAAGTCGACCACAAATATAGGTCGATGCATTTATATTAAACTCGCCGAGAATAAAAAAATATAATTCAAATATAGGTCAACCTTTTTGCTTTTTAAAGAACATGTGAAAGTTTGGGCGAAGGAAAGAAACAAATCTTTATTACAGCGCCCTCAGCTAAATCACAGTGAAACGCCAAAAAAAACTAATCATTGTCAGAACTTCTGGACATGTCATTGACGTTAAAAGCTTCGTCAGCTTCGTAAACGTCCTCACAAATTCGCAACAATACCTCACTGACACCGTTGAAAAATGACGACAACAAGAAGCGAAAAAAGGTGGCGACCGGCGAAGCGACGAAAGACCAAATACAAAGACGCGGACAACGCCACAGCCACGAGTCACTGTGACCAACGTGCGAGCCGCCATGAGCAACAAGAAGCAAAAGTTACCTCCGTATTTTTTATGCGCGTCCGCAAGGCAGAGAGGGATAAAGGGGAGAGGAAGGGGCAAGGTGCATGGCACATCGCATCCCTCTCTCTTTCCTTCTCCCCTTGCGTAGCGAGGGGCACCAGTGAGCAGTGCCGGCCAAAAGCTGCTGCCGTTTCAGTTGTTTTTGTGCACCAAGAGCTTTTTGAAACAACAAGCAGCGCGGCTCTACGATGACGCCGGCTCAAGGACTCGATAGCTCTATGCCCTCAGTAGGGTCACAAAATTCGGTCACGAATGTAGGTCAAAATTCTCTAATCACGATTATAAGTCAGCCCTTAAGTTTTGACAAGAATTCCGGGGAAAAAAAAAAGGTTGACTTATAGTCTTGTGCAAATAGTGGATTTTGAGTTCAAAGCGAATTCGAAGTGAATACTGGTTTTGGCCGAATATTTTCGATTCAAATATCAAATAGTTTTTCCACGCATTTCACTACCATTGCGTAATGCTTAGACGAAAACCCAGCTAAACTTGTGAAGGTTGTTCCACTTGTTCATTTATAAGCTAAGTTTATCCATATTTTTGAACTGTGTCTTCATAAGGTCTCATGTTTTGGGTTGGCAATTAAACGAGGGATTTGACATAAAATGAATCCTAAAGAGATGGCCAGCTATACCCAATTGAGCGAATTTACAAATCTTTCTATATAAAATATTCCTTCTTTAACCTCGAGTTAAAAAAGAAATAATTGCGCATGTTGACCGCAGGTTGAAAGGGCATCTCGGCTTAACATAGTATACTCTTGCCTAACTGTCAGTTTAATTTTGGAACTTTTACTACAATATAGATATGCACTTTCACGAAGTTTTCATTTATTCCCAAATACAGCCGGCACGTGTGCACCGTCCCACTTTGAATGTATGCTTTTCTTCCAAGCACGCAATTGCGATATTAATACTTTTCCAAGTGTTTATCGAGGCGGGTTACCCCGTTGAGTGCGCTTCTTACCGAGCACTGATGTAATGCAAAGAAGCAATACCCACGGATCTCGCATCCGTGGGTATTGCTTCTCCTCTCGGCACCAGTCCTCAGAGAGAAGCGCACTCAAAGGGGCTAACCCACCGCAATCAACACTTCGAAAAACGCGAATAGTGCAGTTCTTCTCGAAGCGAATATTGAATAGTCTATTATTCGAAACATTTATTCGAAATTTCGAATATTCGCACAACCCTATTGACTTATATTCGAATAAATATCGTAAGTTCCCTATGCAAAATCAAGATTGCAAAATGCTGCCTATAAAGATAACAAGTCACATCATCAATTGTAGTTTTCTGTTCATGTTTGTCATCAATAAGAATTGGATGAATGTCTATGAACCAGTATTAAGTTTCCCAATGTAATACCCCAAATGTAAACTATAGCCTATAAAGATAACAGAAGACGGAGCATCTCATAGTAGTTTGCATGACCAAGTGGTCAGTGGCAGTGGCCACTGACAGGCAGGATGGCCTCACCTCAATCTGGGTCTGCCAAAAATTGAGGTCCTGTTGGTTCTCCAGCCCCGAACTGATGGTCAATATGTCAGGGAGGGACCTCAGTCGCTTGCTTTGGAGCTGGAACCGACAGTGGCAGCGTAATGGCATGCAAGAAAAAACATAAAACCGAGTTTTTAGTAAACTAATAGGAAATATATAGGAAATGGGGTCATTCAAATGAATGTTTTTATTTTTCTTTCTGCACATAGAAATAGCACTTTTTCTTTTCTCACATTTTTTTCCAGAAATCCTCACTCGTGAAATTTTAGTATAACAAATGCACCACCTAGAGACACCTTTGTGAAAAGTTGCATTGCACACCGTTCACTGACTTGTACATTTTCCAAAGTTGGGAATTCTTCAAATTATACACTTAGTGCCCACTTCCTCCAAAGCGCCGGCATCAGCCAAAACTAGGTATACACCCCACTGCAATGGCCACGAGACCGCTAGCGGTAATGACGGGGTCGGCGGCGTAGCCAGGGGGGTGCTTGCGTCCCCCCCCCCCCCCCCTGAAATCCAACCGACCTTATAATATACACGTGCATTTTGATCCCCTTCCCCCCCTCCGCACCCCAAGTCATGGTCATCCCAGCCACCTCAGCCCCCCCCTTGAAAAAAAATTCCTGGCTATGCCACTGGACAAGGTTATGGTATGACAATAAATGTATGTTCTCCGATTCCATTCACCTCGCCTTCAAAGCTCTTTGTTGGCCACCATCTTGCTTTTCATGATTTGACCGGACAAGCACCCACGTTTAGATCAGCACAGTTCTCAGTGAAAGTGGGGCGGGTGCTCCCCGGTATTTTACGGGATACATAAATATATTATTATTTTCTTTCGTTATCAGAAAACACCATTTGCAAGCACCCTGTAGACAGACCAGCGTAGAGAGCACCGCAGAAGGGGAACCTTGCTGCCACGCACCGTGGGCTGATACTTCTCACACTTGTCGCACCAGGCGGGCATGGTGCTCTCCAAGCAGAGGCTCCTCTCCAGGATCTCCGTGAACGAATACTGCGGCGTGACCTTCTCTGGAACTGCACACCGGCGTTGGAATGCGTGCCAACAGAAAGCACAAACTCAACATTTACAGGTTTACACTAGGTCACCTCTCCACACGTCACAGGCTCCAAAGCTAGGACAGAAGGAACTGGTTCGGTCGCACGACGTCTCTGCCACAATAGCTGCAGTCAACAAAGGGCATGGGCATATGAAACAACGCAACATCTATGATAAATAGTTGGCTTATAACGTTGTCAAAATTGATCCGAGCGTCGGATGGGAACATGAATAGTCAAAAATAAGGAAGTAGCTATATATGCAGACCGGAAGTGTTCCTTGGCCACCCGATACCTAAATGGCTCCAGTGCACTCTCTCGTCACTACGGTCACAAGTGGGCATGACGCACTTGGTCAGGCTCAAATACAAGTGTGCGAACCAGCCTCAAGGTGTCAGTGCAACAATCAATGACGCGGCATAAGAAATTAAACGTGCCAAAAGCGACCACCAGAAAAACCATATACAGTCGAATCTTATTAATTCAAACGCGAGGGGGACCGAAAATTTGTTTGAATTAAGCAAAGTTTGAATTATCACGAGCTTCCTCCCATAGAGACGCATGGGATGGGACTTGCATGTTAGTTTGAATTATCCGCAAGTTTGAATTAAGAGAGTCTGAATTAATGAGAGTCGACTGTAGTGCGAAAGAATCTCAAATAAAAATTTAGCAGTCCCACGTTAACCCACAGTACAATGATGGCGATAGCTGCAACAAGTCGCAGAGAAGTCATTGGGCGTTGGCGTTGCGTTCCTGCACCTTGGAGTGCACGTACAAAAGGGTTCAGAACAAAATAGACGTTTAACCTGTAGCGGACGACGGAGAAAGCGCAACCAGACGAGGCAAAGATATGGTTAAGACTGCCTCCCATTTCACGTGCGCTGGCCAGCGTTCGGAACGCACCAGCCGGCGTTTGGCACGCGCCAATCACTCGTGCCGATCGGCACCGCCACGGTCCCCCTTCAGAGACGGAGCTGCTCCCCTCTGCTCTGCCCTGCTTCAAACGGTTTCATTTCTTCTTTTTGTTCGGGAGTGCACAAAAGAGCATCTCTCAGCACGACCCCTTGGCACTGACAACGCTACAATGTGTTGTCATCGGCTATTTTTTCTTGTTCTTGTTTTTTTCTAGAGGGTGCGTGCAGTGGACATCGAGTAGCAACCACCAAGTTTAAAGCAGCTTTGGAGTCCTCACCAGGTGGCAGTGGGTCAGGGTAGACGAGGGAACAGAGCAGGGTAGTCGACTCCTTCTCCCTGACGTTGCCGCAGCGGCACTGATTGGAGTTGAGCAGCGTCCAGCCGTACAGCTTGCTCAGCTCACTGCCAAGCTCGCTCGATTTCCTTGGAAGAACGAGTCACGGGGGTGGGGCACTTAGCAAGAAGGCGACGCAAAAGCTACGACGACAAAGAATACGTAGCTGTGGCAGATTATTGTGATGACAGTCACAGGCACGCTTGCTTATGGGTTCTGCTTTTTTAAATTCATTTTGCACAAAAAATAAAAAATAAAAAAATAAAGGCTCGCAGCCGTAATTATTTTTCTATAAATTAAACTTGCACTTTAATTCTGGTGGAGGTAAAAAACAAACGAACAGTACATGGTCCTTATAGTTGCAATAAGGTGACACCAGATTAAGCACAGGCAAAACCTAAAATATTAGCCAACTATAAGGATTTACTTATTTATTGCTTTCATAAATTATTCCGATACAAATAGGGGCTAACATCTTATCCACCAGAAAAAATAATGAATGAAAAAAAAAACGTAAAGATGAGTAGCAAAACTTTGTTGAAACTTGTGCCCTTCCCCACAAACACTTCTAAAGCATTTACTCTAAAACCTTAAAGGGATACTACAACGAAATTTCTGCACCTATTTTTTGGTCTATATGTGTTCAAAGGAGCCGTATCACATGGGACATACCAATATCCTGTTAAAAAGACAAGAGAAAGAATTTTAAAACAAATTAAACGATTAGCAAAGAGCACCTGGTGAATGTCGCTAACGCCTCACTTGTAATGCCCGTCTAGGAACCTTGACAGGTAGTGACAGTAACTGTCTTGCCTCCGGCCACAATGAGAGAAAGAAAGGAAGGAAGAACTCCCCTCTCCCCGAGACTCTCTTTTGTGTGTCCCAGACGTGGTTATGTCCCTCTGAGAGTTTATAGAAGATTAACCCGTCACTCAAAATTCGTACAAAAGCAGCCGCTTCCATGGCTGGAACGACTAGGCCTTCCTCTCAATGTCAGCCTCGCTGCAGCTTTGCTCGTCCCGAGACGAACTATGTCACGACTGCGGTGGATGTGACGTGATTTCCACTGGCTGCTCTCCAAGTGCTTGCCAGACTGGGTTGTTTATAACAAAAAATACAGTCATCAAGCTCAAAATACAAACGAGCGATTGTCATTTACGGATATTGTGGATCACATTCAACCTATTTTTGAACACGACAGGTATATTTCAAATTTCGTTGAAGTATCCCTTTAGGACGCAAATAATGTTGCCAACTTGGTAATTGAATACCTTTGCCACAATTATAAAATTCCACCTGTGAAAAACCACCCCTAAACTGCCGAAAAATGTGCAAAGAGAATCCGAGCACAATCTTCGTTTCGGTGTGCCGACAGCGCCCCAGTGCAAAGGCACGAGGCGAGTCTCAACTTAGCACTTACTCCGATTTCTGCATGTCATCTTCTGGGGCCTCCTGAGTCTCCTGCAAAAGCCAACATTACAAACCAAAACTTGAGCATTCATTCCACTAAATGGGAACATTCATTGAGCCTGGGGCACCTGTCACCCCTCTAGCCCAGTGTGCAGCATAGGTATGTCCTATGAAACAATGTGCTCAACAATGTAGACTTATCTGTTGAAAGTCCACATCAGGACACCCTATGGAGACCTTACCTCCCTGTATTGCATGGACTCCCATTACATTAATACAAGGAACGACGACATAATCCACAAACCAAATGTTTTTTACATCTTCTGGGGTCAGGGAAACAACAAAGGCCAATGGCACAGTCAACAGTATATGGTTGTAAAAGGATTACAAGCGTTCTAAATGTGGTATTTAGCCGAGCCAACTCACGGAATGTATTTGCTGCAGGACGAAGCGCGTCCAGCTCTGAACGAGACGTGGGAAGTTGACTTTTTTGCGGGCCTCGTCTGAGTCGGACAGGATCAAACCCAGGGCCGAAGCTTCGGGTATCGTCCGGAACGCCCGCAAGAAGTTGCTGGCCTGGGCAGACAAAAAACCGATAGCATTTACTGGGGTTTCCAAAACTAGTACCCCTGCCAGATGGCAAAATATAAAGTGATTTCAATATAATGACATCAAGTGATCGGCAAATCGACTAGCAATCCTGACTAGGAGCGTCGCGTGTCCTTGGGAGTTGATGTTTACCATATGGATGGGGTACTAGTTTATTTCCTTAAGGCTAGGCAAAGAGTACAAACATAAACTTATATTTACACCTAATGTTTATATGCCTATGCTGGGACTATGCTGAAAAATGCCCATTCCTACCACTAGGAACATCACTGAAACCACCATTAGAAAAGGATGGAGAACTCAAACCAGAGGCTCAAAGACAACGGGGCCAATGCACACTTCAGTCAGCCACAACTCTCTTTCACGCACCAATGTTTTGAAAATACCAATTTTATTACTGTTTCAGCCAAAAGGACAACCCCCCCCCCAGTCTACACATTACTTCTCTCAGCCTAAAAAAAAACAAATTATGTTTCAGATTGACAGCATATAATTCCAGAAAAGGAGTCTTAATTAAGCTTGCACTCACTTGGCAAGGAATGCCCTGTGCCGTGTCCAGCATGTGGAAGAGAAAGCCAAGCTCGCAGGCCAGGCAAAATTCCCGCTGGCAGATGTGGTTGATGACAGCACACCTCAGAGGATCCGTGAAGTACAACACCTGAATGAGAACAAGCTCTCATTTAGAAAGTATAAAAATAAAAATTTTATATTAAAACACTTTCCCACGTAAAACATTGCAAATCCATTTGGTATCCCAAGCACGCTCTGCAATCCAAGGATGCCTCACATCATTAATTTTGCCACAAAACCTTTAAACTTCGGTGTCCTCAGGTCTTATAAGCAGTTAGAGCACAAAAAGGACCCAATTGAGGGAACACCACCAGACACCCATTTATATTTAAAAATGAATCTTCTAAAACTGCATGGGCACTTTGACAACATTCGAGGATAGTTTCCTGTCTATTCTGGATCTGAGCTCCCTCAAAAGCCTCGTCGTGTTGCATTCCCAAGCACTGTAACATTCCCGCTTATTACACCATGGCATATACCCCACGAATAATTTGAATCACTTTAGGCATGTTGGACAATTACCCAAAAATTATGTAGTATCACATTTATATCTGCTAATTAAAAATGGCCTGGCCACAGAACAAAGACATTGGAAAAACAACATCTGAAACATCCACATATGGCTGAGCTCGTGAATTGGGACAAGGCACCGACACACAAAATCTAAAAACAATGGCTCGTTCGTTTAATTACTGAGCATCATGACACACACTGGGAGATTAGCCTACTGTATTCATGCCCATTAAGCGTCTTCCTTTTTCCAAAATGGAAGTGCACAAAGGAGGGGATGCTTGCATTCAAAGCGCTGTTATAGTATATTAATTATCCCGTAAAAATGGTTTGTGTGGTTTTGTCGAACCATATTCACCTTTTATTTGTTTGTCTTTTCTAAGAAAGCATCAGTGAGCGTGTTCTGCATATCCAATGTTAAAATAGCATATTACAGACTTCCTTGAAATTCGGAGTTCACTACTATCAACAGGCTCAACTGTATATGCCTCAAACATTCTTCTTCCTGCACTTACCTATTTTCAATTGCAAGAGCAAGTGCGCAGTATCATGAAAAAAAGTACTACATACTTCTAATAATGTGGACTTGCACTCTATTGATAACTGGAAGCATTCTATGTGACCCTATTAAAAGAAAGGACTGGATCTAGAATACCTGGATCATGTTGTTGCAGTATGCATTTGGCAGGTTTGTCTCTAGTCCCGCAAAGCATGTTCTGTTGTAGAGGTTGAAGTCAAAGTCCTCTATGCCCATCTTGGAATACTTGACGTCTATCTTTTTGTACCACTGTGGAATCATGTCCATGTCTTCACCTGCAGAGGAGGCCAAATCACCCAGTAAAGCAGAAATTTCCACCATCTATCTACAAAGTATGGAATGATTGCTGATAAAAAATAATAAAGTGAGTAAAATCCTGACTCCCTTCAAAACGTCAGAATATCTACAAGGTTGCCTGGGATAAAATCAAAAGCATAAATTTGGAGTCTCATTTGTTGTATTCTTTCAATGTGCAAAAAAAATGCTCAACATCATGTCTACACTGCAGTGCCTCCAAAGTACTTTCTCAAAATTCCTTTAACGGCAACTCCGCTCCGTTCGAAAAATTTCGGGAAAATGAGTGACTTCACATTAAAAAGCACTAATAAAAAACACCAGACCATTTGTTTGTGAAAAAAAGGATATATATCGTTAAATCTTACTTTAAACATGAGCAGAAATCTAAACCGAAACTTTGGCTCCGTCTGGCAACATTGGCATAGGTCCGCCAAAAACATGGCCATCGCGTAATACAAGATGTCACATGATCCTCTACGCAACGATAGGGGGGATTGGGGCAGGCCAGCGAGCCACCATTGGGCGGGCGTGTGCCAGGCGCAAGTGTCTTCTACACCGCACTCTTTACCACTTTTTGGTCTCTACGACATTCGACGATATCTGCACAATTGCGGCAACACCCTGCGCACTTAGTGTGAACAAAACTCAGAGAGACAATAATCATGAGCAATAAGACGACAATGACAGTTGTGACGTGGGAGACAGCGGTAATGGCGGGACGACTGGGTGGCTCTCAAGAAGCACGCTGCGCAGGCACATCAATCCCGTGGACACCGCTGAGCACCGAGAGGAAACGTTGCTGATGTTACCCATTAAGCTTGCCCGGAGAAGTAAAAACAAACAAAAAGGGGCAAAGGTCATGACGGTTAGCTCGACTGCGCTGTTGGTTGCACCTCAATTCGCCCGCTAGACTCAGCCGATTTCGGCTACTTGGCGCATTGCAAAGCTTGCCGGACCTTTTAAGAAGCATTTAAACAGAATTAAGTCGTAATATTTGATGCGTGGTCTTCCTAGGTGATACTGAAGAGGACTGTATAGCTTTCAAAAACAAAAATGAAGCGGAGTTGCCCGTTAATAAAGTAGTCGAAACTAAGATACGCAATAAAATAATTGCCAGTCGATTGCAGTGAGGTTTCATTTAAGTTAGGATAGTAAGAATGTGAAAGAAAGCGTCCTGGAATATAAAAAACTTACGAGTTTCCTTGGATCGACGGTGGTGCGTTTCTTGAGGGTAGCGTACCTCGTTACGCTTCCACAGGCCCGGGTTGGGGGCATAGCCCACGGAGCCAACCATCTTCATCGTGTTCAGGATCACTTGGTCTATGGGCAGGGATCTCCTACAAACATGTGCAAACTCAGACTTGAATGTTGCTCTCTACAGACACCGACACCGGAAACATTCATTGCTGTTCTATTAAACGAGAATTCGGTTCTGCCTAACCTTAAACTCTCATAAACCGGAATTTGCAAAACTTGGAGAGCCCCTGCATGCATCTAAAAATGATTAAATTAAACGGGAGCACTACAGTGTTCATACTTATTGATAAAAATGCAACCTGTCATTAAGATTATAAGGGCAAGCTCAAATGCAACGCACATATTGCCTCTTTTTAAGAAATGTGAGACTTTTTCTTCAACGTCCAGGTTTTTCAGTGGACTTATTAAGCTAGAAGCTTAATAAGCGATAAACATCAAAGTCCAGAATGATAAAACTGGTGAACTATAAAAATCGTGGCAAAGCCCTCTTACGCAGCATTTTGCAATGAAGCATATCACTCGCAAGAGGGCACACAATATAATAACTGTTTAAAACAAACAATGGGATGTTTTCCGCAACTTTTGGCTAAAATCAAAAATAAATTACCACCCACTGAAACGCTTTCATATTAATCACGAACAACAGCCTGACAAGTGGAAACCTGTCTACTAAAAAACTATACCCTTTAATTCACTTTTTCTTGACTTCAATGACATCAAAGCTGCTCATCACTCTCAGAACCATTGCATGCTTTCTCCCTCGCCCAGCTACTACTACACAATCACCAGAAATCCTGCGAGGGGGAAAAAGAAAGCATCAGGTGGCTGCAGGAAGGGGGCGTGAAAAGAATGTGCACCACACACCTATACACATATTTCGTGAACTCCTTGGGAAGGTCGGAGAGCAGCTTTCCACTGCAGTAGGGCATCGGAATGGTGGACAGTGGGGCGATGGGATCGTTTATGTCAATGGGGTGGTGCGGTTCCTCCTGAATCCCCAAAACGAAGTGGACGACGGAAAAAAAAACGGCAACAACCAACGTCGTTGAGGCACTTCACCAAACACAAAGAGGTGACGATACGTTTTTTACAGAATTTATGACTTTTTAACTCCAGGCATGCACTTTCTGACATTGCAGGTTCATGATTCTGTATCCACGTGACGGGAGCTTTTGTCAAAAGCTGCTGAGTTAGAGCAAGGCCCTCACTGAGTGGGATCCCATTTCAAAAACATGATCTGGCCTGCTTAACTGGATTTGGAGATAGGGCCGTGCAATGGCCGCGATTGTGCTCCTAAATCCAAAGGGTGTGACCGTTAGAGAGCAAAACAGAAGATAACTTAGTCAGAAAAATCGCCGAGACTGGGAAAAAGAAAGGGCATACAAGCACAGAGGTATCAAGCACAGCTGAAATTATTTGACAAAAATTGGTGTTCATATAGCCTTCAAGAACTCATACAAACATGAAAGAAACAAATGAATGAAAAAAACTCTTTCCACAGAAACACAAAAGGCAAAACATACAGAGAATGTATCATCTCTTCCGGAATTCCTATTTGTAAAAAAGGCCACACTAATTGAAAAAAAAAGAAGATTGATTTGTTTTTTGTATGTTTTGCATTTCCCATGGGCGGTCACTGCACTTTTTGTGTTCTTCTGGAAAGAGTTTTTTCGTCCCTTCCTTTCTTTTATGTTTGTATCGGTATTTTTGTCAAATAAATTCAGCTGTGTTTGAGACCTCTGTGTTTGTCTGTCCTTTCTTTTTCCGAGTCTCTGGGTTTGTCTTCCTATGTTCAAGTACCAACAGCTCGTTTGCGCCCTAACCTTCTGCTCAGAAGAGAACTGATCAGATCATAAATGTGCTTGTGTGACTTTGGCAAGTGCATTTTTCCTTATGCTACTTTTCCCGTTGTAGAAAAGCAAAGCAATATGAAGTCCCGAAAAGCACATTCTTTCGATTAAAGTGACTTCCAACTAATGTTACGATACAAACAAAGCCCTTTTAAAGTCTTTCTGCTCAAAGTTAAGAATGGGTTTTATATGAGCACATATCATTTAGTTCAATTTTCCAGCCTGTAAGCTGATGCTTGCAGACTCGAAAATAATTTTGTTTACTAAAACACGATAAATACATATACAAGGTAGACTGGGAATATTAGACTAGCTCCAAGAACAGGAATCTGTGGTTCACAATAGATGTTAAAAAAAGTGGCAGCCCACTGAAAATATTTTTAGAAGTAAAAGCGAGCGAAAGAATGCCCCAAAATAGTACAAAATGGTAGAAAAGATGAGCAGCGACATACCGGATCTGCAAATTCTGTCGGATTGCTAAAGTTGTTGAAGTTGACGTGTGAGCTGGCTCCATACAGGTGAAGGTAACCTAGAAAGTTGTTGAAGTTTTATGAGTACAAGAATTTCAGTAGTTCGACACGCACACACCAATAAACTAGCAAGTGCATACGGCCAATGCTTTATATTACAGATAGAAGCAACCTCCAAAGGCCTCTTGTTGCTGATATGGGCACTCGAGATATAATGTGTGGTAGGGCAATCTTTTAGCCTTAAATGACAAATAAAAACAGCATCATTGGTGTTATAATAAAAACTTTAGCAGTCGCACCATCAGAAAATAGCAAGGTTTACCATTCTGTTTTATCAACCAAGCACTACATTGTTTAAGTGCTTGCCGTCACACTTTACACGCTCCTGAAACCTCGTTTTAACGTTGCGCATTACTCGCCCGATATTTCCTGCGGTATCTGCTGCAACTGCATGCTGGATAGCATCTTTGGGCAGTTGCCTGCACCTTACACCTTGCGCTCACCAGGCATCATCACAAACGATGATGCCTGGTGAGCACGGAACAAGGGTAAGGCAGTGCTTGGTTGACATTACGAAGTAGTAAACATTTCTCTTCCCGACTTTATAGTAAAGGTTCAAATAGTACCTTCATACCTTTCAAGATTGGGAAAATATACTGCCAGACCCAGTACAGAGTATGTACGAATAGACTCAGGCATAATAAACCCTCGAAGCTAATGTGGAGAATTGTGCATTGCAAACTAAGAAAAACGTATATGTCATTCCTGATGAAAAGCACAAATTCGTCAACAGCATTTGGCACCAAACACCAATAGGCTCCCAACTGACCTGAGCTATAACTTCAGAAAGAGCTTTAGGTGGCCCTGAATGCAATTTTTTGCTTGTTTTCTTTTTTACCCAAGGAGAAAAATGCATCTTTCGATCACACATCACTGCATGCTGCATTTGGATGAAAACCAGAAAGAAGCTCACCAGCAACATCTCCGAAGGCAAGCGCCTGGCAAGACGACGAGGTGTCAAATGCGTGCACCCCAGCACCCCCCGTCTCCAACTGGTAGATGTAGGAGGACTGGGTCGTTATGCTCGTGTCCACCAACTGGAACTGCCCTGTCTTGGGAAACAACCAAAGATCACTAAAAGCAGCTCTCCAGTTTCTGAGCAAATGATAATGCCTTGTCATCAGTCCTGGAGCTTGGATGTGACAACACTAAAGAAATACATTATGAGCAACGCTTACAGTAGGAAAGCTCCATTCTCCAAATGTCATGTGGAAAGCGCCATTGGGTGCCTAGTGCAAAGCCGCTGCAATAGATCTATCTCACCAAGCTTTCCACGCATGCGTGACGCTGCCATAACTGTAGTTCATAAGATGCAGACGCCAGTTCACGAGACAGCTCATGCCGCCTCGTGCTCTGCTCGTACAGACCTCCAGCGGGGTTGTCGCACGTGCAGAAAGACTACAGCTCCCACGATGCATGGCGGCAGCGGTGGCATACTCAAACTAGCTGGTGAGATCGGTCTATTGGCAATAGTACACACTCATTCATTCAAACTCCAAAAAGCCACAAATTTCGTTTCAATTATCTGAAGTTTGAATTATGAGAAATATATCTAAATATGATGCGAAATAAAATTATGATTTGTTATATGAATGGCTACACGTGCAAAGCAGATATTTGATTATTTCCTCTACACAGGCCTACTAATCATAAGCAGGTATGCCACACATGAAACATTGGTAAAATGTATGAGATAAGTTTATTCATCCCTCAAAAATGTTGTCTATCATGAACTGTTTCGATGGCATGTGACACCTCAAAATAAAATTGTTTGTTCATCCAGCAAAAAAGTTGTACATTGCGGACTATTAGACACGTTGAGCACGCTTCTTTCCGAGCACCGATGCACTGCAGAAAAGCAACACCTGCGGAAGCGAGCTCCACGAGTGTTGCTTCTCTGCAGTGCACGGATGTTCGGTAAGAAGCGTGCTCAACGGGGTCACGAGAAGAAAAAGTATGAATTACACGAAAACGTTGCTCGAATTAAGTGACTTATAAATACATTAAAAACATAGCAAAACAACTAAAATTCTGAAATTTCTTTGAAATAACCAAAAGTATGAAATATCCCAGTTTGAATCATAGCGAGTATTTCGAGCTTTAGAGACGTGTCCGATAGTTCAGGCGATGCCGTCTAGGTCTGTCGCAGGCTGTTTTAACATTTGTGAAGGACATAAAAGTGTTTCCTGCAATTTCAGAGAAGGCTTTGGATGACCGGCAACAATGCATTAAGCGCCAAGTTGGCTGAAGTGTCGTTACTCTAAAGCGTAGCTTATCCAGCGACTCCGTAGTCACTGTTAACGAACGCAGGGTGAGGCAAGTTCCAAGCATCGCATTTTCGCTCCACAGCCAAGGAGATTACAGCATTAGCCAATATTTTTGTGTTGTATATGTGTTATTGATCTGTGAATTTTGAGCATGTGTTTCTGTGTTGTGCAAATCCACTCCTATCTTGGTCCTGTGAAGGACCGATAGTATTTCAAATAAATAAATAAAATATATAAATAAAATATATAAATAAGAATGCCATAAAATGAATCAGGAAGCAAAAAGCATGAATGTAAAAGCCACACCCTGCATTTGTCAAAGGGAAGCCTGAAGAGATTCTTGAAATCAAACAAGCAGCAAAAGTTGTAACGTAGACACCTCAAAAATGATATGCTTTAAGTTTTCTTTCAATCTTATTAGTAGGAGCGTTGTAGTAGCCAATTAAGATTTCGATGCAGACCCTCCCATTGCGGCGCGCTGAGGGTAGAAAGGCGCGAGAGAGGAGAGAAAAACTGGCAGAAGTGACGTCATTAGCAGGGTCAGATGACCCCTGCTTGTTACTCAGCTGGCTCGGGGATGCCGACAATGACATCACGACGCCCTGAACAGATAGCAGGCGGCAGAGAGGATCGCAGCATGCCCTGCAGCAATCACTGAGCATATTTTTCAAAACAAATTCGGTTTACGTTTGCTTCTACCCAAGTGCGATAGCTGAATTTACGAGACAACAAGCTACAGAAGTTAGCTCCCAACTCAGATTTCTTGAAAAGTGTTTCAGCTCCCCTTTAAGCCTCAAGTGGCTCTAAATGACACGAATTCTCACCTGGGAAACCACAAAGAGGCGGGACGTGAAGGCAGGGACAAAGCGTAGAAGAGAGGGCGGGAACATCATCTGGATGGGGGCCACCGCCCTCATTACACGCAGGTCGTACACCTTGATGAACATGTCCACCGTGAGTGCCCCATGCCTGCGGCAAAAACGCATCGGCCTGCTTAGACTCCCGCTTTTCAAAGTCTAGCAGCAAATATTGATCTTTTGCTTTTTTTTTTTTTTTTTGAAGCAGAACTAGGCATGCTTTTCTCCGCGCTTAAAAGAGCGTGGAAAGTTGGGAGATCAATGTCATGAAAGCTTGGTGACGGAAGTGACGTCACACAGATAACATTGGAGCGCTGACCAATTTTCATTGTTCTGCTCCCTGACAGCGCACCGTGCCTGCTGCCAAGAACCGTGCAATAAGGCATGCACAGTAGACCATTTCAGCTCAAATTCTCACACTCTTTCACATTTGCACCCGACGACCTTGAGGTCGCCCTGAGGTCATCCTAGAGGTCGTCCTAGACGTCGTCTTTGACGTCATCCTTGAGGTTGTCTTAGAGGTCGTCCTAGAGTTTGTCTTTGACATAGTTCTTTAGGACGTCGTCCTAGAGGTTGTCCTAGGCATCATCCTCGACGTCGTCCTTGAGGTCATCCTAGAGGTTGTCCATAAGATCGCCCTAGAGATCGTTCTAGATGTCGTACTTGAAATCACCCTAGAAGTCGTCCTAGACATAGTCTTTGATATCGTCCTCAACGTCGTCTTAAACGTCGTCCTAGAGGTTGTCCTAGCAATTTCTTCTCTGCTGGTTTGGTTGTTTGCTTGCTCCAATGCGTCGTGCTCCTGCCCGATTGAAACGGCAATAGACGCCGTTCCAGCAGCCGTGATTCCACAATCATCGGTCATCGCTCTGGACAGCGGGCGGCCGAGCTCGCATCCTCTGCGGCACGAGCAGTTCATGCAACTCTCAAGCATGGCTCGGCAAAGCGTTAACCCTTGATGACAGATGATATGTGCCTGTCCTCATTGCGCACACTACTTCCAAAGCAAAGCTGAAGCAAAAAAAGATATTAAGCATACCATAAACGACTGTTTTCGCGAGCTCAATGTTTTGAGAATTTTTAAAGTTATGGGATTTGGGAATGTTTTGCAGGCACAAAATTCTGTGATTTAGAGTGATATGCTATGTATTCTTCACCATAGGCTGAAATATTTGCGTGATAAATTTTTCGCTATAATTTCCAGCCAGCTAGGTTCACGAATATTTACTTGTTTACAGTATATACTCTTTTTCAATTTGTTTACAGACAACACATGGCAGCAAGAAAGCACACAATTGGTAATAAGATCAAAAAGCAAAAACAAAATAAAATTTAAAAAATTAAGGTGACAAGCCAAAAACGAAAATCCAATTAAAAGTCATTCCCAATATCCACATTGTTTGTGAGCGCATTCTCATTTCTGTTTTCTATTAGACATTACGGTAAGTGCAAACACAGGAACAGATACTTTCAACTGTCATTCTGTCTCTCGTGTTTTTACTTTTGGTAATTTAGTCATCTCTAATTGCAACCAACGTGCACACCTTTGACTCTGTTTTCCGTTCTTTTGCAGCATTTTGACATGCCCAAAGCAACTTTTGACACATGTCGTGCTCCTCACTTTGCTGAGATCACTGGATGCTCAATTAAGCTCCAAAATTGCCATTAAAAGCAGGGGTGCACAACTCGAAACTGATGCAAGCCAAAAAAAAGCGTTTTTGGGAACTGCATGGGTTTTCAATCCGGCAGACAGGTTTCAATATCCGTCATCATTGCACTGGTTGCCGTCTTTCGAACATCTCGCAGTGTCATGTCTGCGGGTCGTATATAGTGCACCCCTGATTTAAAGAATGTTTAATTTTTTTTTTTATTTGTAAATATGCGAAAAAAAACTTCTAGTGTTTTTTTTTTTTTTTTGTGCACTATTAAGTTAGCAAAAATATTTTTTGCAGGAATTTGGAAGTCGTAAAGAAATCACTCCAGGATTAAAGTAACTTCGAGAAGGTATCTTAAAATTTTAGAACTCACTTTCATGCAGATAGAAAGGCACAGAAAAAAATATTTCAATACACACCAAAAATAAAAGAAAGCTACACTCACCTGTTTGTAAATCCGCAAGTGACAACCATATTGCCAAGTACATCGAAATCCGACAGGACCCCGGTACCCGAAAGAGATTCCAGAGTGTACTCCACATTAAACGTGTTGGGGTCCCTTAGCGTGACCTGCCAACAAATTATAATAAAAATAACTACTACATACCGTACAACAAAATCCAATTTAAGGATTGATCCTTCAAACTACAAAAAAGAAAATAAATTATCAAAATGAGCTCAAAACTTCATGAGGTCATTTTGAGATTACATAGTCACAACTAGAGTAGCTTACCACTTCCAAGTCAGAAACCACTCACTTAAGGTTATGACAACCGAGGAACATAATCAAACTGACTACTGCATATTCATTTTGTCCCTTTAGCTGACGCATACTGCTATGATCGTTCTCCATCGAGCCTCATGTGCTTCTTTCCCGCACCTGCAGAAATGCATATTCATACTGCCAAACTGGACAAAAATATGCACCGCAAAACTAAAAGCCCCAGCAGTTATTTCAAAATGACCAATAGTAATCCGCTGCGACAACACCTTCTTGTGTGCCAATTTAAATGCAACAATTCTGAGTATCGGACTAAACTATGTAACTTGGCAGGTCCCACATAAAAGGGTCAGTGCGACGAATTTGGAGCCCAATTATGTCACGTTTATTTTGTGCACGACAGCCACCTGGGGAACTTCCTCTTGGTGACTCACCAACAGAAAGCCACCAAGGAAAAGTTTTTATCGTTGCACGTTGTTTCAATAAATGTTTAGATAAAGTTCAGCGCTAGTCTTGTCCTATCTTGTAAGAATGAACCAACTCGCCCACATGGCCACTTTGGTGACTCACCTTCCCGTTGAAGTCGGCGCAGCAGATGAACCTGGGGTGGCGTCGAATGACGGCGCAGCCATTCTCCCCTACGTCGGTGACCACCTTGTGGTCACCTCTGGACAGGTCGAGCTCAATGAGGCTCGGCTGGTTGCCTCCCATCAGAAGCGAGCCAGAAGGAGACAGCGTCATGCAGTGCATGTCCTCCATCTCTTCAGAGCTGTCCCAAATGACAAAATGGCCATCAATCTTTACAACACACGGGCGTTCCTTGCCAACCCCTCGTTCAAATAAAGGTGGCCATACTTTGAGTCAAGCGACGGTGCATCAACAATGCTGATGTGTCGTATCAATTTGATGTGTCGATACAACTTCATGTTTCTAGTAAACTCCTTGGAGAAGAGAGGCAACAGGGGCATAAGTCGTTTTAGACAATGTCTTCGGCGTTGCAAAAAGTCCTCTTCTTTATTTTTTTTTTTTTTTTTGAAGGTTAATTATTGTATTAGAACTTTTATTGAACATTTTTAAAACATTTTTTTTTCACAGAATGCAACACACCAAGACTAGAGTTCAACTGTGATTCAACAGCCAAACTCAGTGCAAGAAACAGCAGGAGTCAAACGTGTCACACATTATGGGCTTCCATAGATCCAGAGCATTTTGTTGCCGCCCTCAGTGACCATGGGGAGCGGGGGGGGAGGGAGGGAGGAGTTATGTTTGGAGATCAAATTTTCAAAAGCAGCTATATTTAGAGCAAGAATTCCCTAAGTAGCTAAATTCAGAGCTAGATTAAAAGAAGAGAGCCAATTAATTTGGGGGCGGCCACAGATTGGTCACCCCCAAAATTCTGCTCCCTAGGCAGCTACCTACTCTGCCTATTGGTAAGTTTGTCTTGTATAGACCCTAGACCAAAAAAATGAAAGCCGCTTACAACTCCCTGTAACGCCGAATTAGAGCGTAGCTCTTGAGGAGGAGGAGGGAAGGGCACTGGGGGGGGGGGGGGTTAAACTAACCAGGGGGGGGGTCACGTTACCTTGGGGGTCACGTGACCCCCAATGCCGATGATGTCATCACTGACGTCACTGATGACGTCATCAGTGACGATGACGATGCGGGTACCGATGACGTCATTAGTGACGTCACTGATGACTTCACCAGTGATGATGACGAGGACGATGCGAATGTCGGTGACGTCATCAGTGACGTCGCTGATGACGTCATCAGTGATGATGACGATGACGATGCGGATGCTGGTGACGACATCAGTGACGTCACTGATGACGTCATCAGTGATGATGACGATGACAATGCGGATGTCGGTGACGTCATCAGTGATGATGACGATGACAATGTGGATGCCGGTGACGTCATCAGTGATGATGACGATGACGATGTGGATGCCGGTGACGTCATCAGTGATGATGACGATGACGATGTGGATGCCGGTGACGTCATCAGTGATGATGACGATGACGATGCGGATGCCGGTGACGTCATCAGTGATGTTGACGATGACGATGTGGATGCCGGTGACGTCATCAGTGATGATGACGATGACGATGTGGATGCCGGTGACGTCATCAGTGATGATGACGATGACGATGCGGATGCCGGTGACGTCATCAGTGATGACGATGACGATGTGGATGCCGGTGACGTCATCAGTGATGATGACGATGACGATGTGGATGCCGGTGACGTCATCAGTGATGATGACGATGACGATGTGGATGCCGGTGACGTCATCAGTGACGATGACGTCATCGGGGGTCACGCGACATCGGCGGGGGTCACGTGACCTCGAGGAGGGGGCCACGTGACCTCAGGGGAGTCACGTGACTTCGGGGGGTCACGTGACCCCCCACGAGGTCACGTGACCTTGGTGGGGGGCTCGCGCGGTGCATTATGGGACATTTCCCATGATGCACCGCGCGGTTACGCCGACGCTGACGGCGACGCCGACGGCGACGGCGACGGCGACGGCGACGGCGACGCCGACGGCGACGCCGCTCAAGCCGGAAACGGGCCCCTAAGAGCTGCGCTCTAAAAATAAAAGACGTTTCCAAATCTTTGCAAAGTGAAACTAGAGCACAGCTCTTGAGGAGGAGGGGAGGGTATGTCCCTCCTCTTGCTTCATATCCTCCATTTCTCCTCCTCCTACCCTCCTACCCTCCTCCTCTTCCTCGTCTCCTCCTGCTGCTGAATTTATTCATGGGTGACGTGACACGAAGTCGTGGCATCATTTTCCCCGCTAAATTTAGCGGAGGAATTGAATTAGTGTTGAGGTCACGTAACGTCAATTTACCCGCTAAATTTAGCGGGAAAATTTCCCACTATATTTCGCACAAACATTTCCCCGCTAAATCTGGCAGAAAATTTCCACACAAAATTCAGCAGAAACATTTCCGCGCTAAATTTAGCCAAAACATTTCCCTGCTGAACTTAGCGAGAAAATTTCCCGGCTAAATTCAGCATAAAAATTTCCCAGGTATCTTTAGCGGGGAAACGTCCCATAATGCAACGTGCAGTCACACCAACGATCACGCCGCTCAACCCAGAAACGAGTGCCTAAGAGCTGTGCTCTAAAACAAAAAAAAGCTTAGTCATATTCGACTAGAGCAGGGGTTCTCAAACTTTTTGGTCTCACGGAACCCCAGGAAGCCTCAAAGACTGCCGCGGAACCCTCCTCCCCCTCCATATTTGCCGACCGAGAAGCAACAGATGCACAATTGTAGGCAATTCTGCTTGTGTCGCTTCCCATATATCCCCACCATATCAATCGCGATGTCAGTACAAAGTGAGATGAAGGCGCTTTACATGGTCCTGCCGCGCAGCCTGCGACATGGGGGGGGGGGGGGGGGGGGGGTGCAATTTGGGTGTTTGCGGAACCGAGTTTGAGAACCCCTGTATTTGAAGTGGTTGACTGCTCGTCTCCAGAACAGGAAAGCCAACCCACCTGTGATGAAACACAATGAGTCCCCGCCGGTTGTTGAGACGCACAGTGTTGCTGGTAAGGGACAACACCCCCGCATCCACGGTGCTCAGCTGCCTAACCTCGTTGGTGGCGTGGACTTGGAAAGACGTGTACTTCTGGAGCTCAGACGTGTAGTAAGACGTTACATGACCCTGGAAAGAAGCAACAAGTTTACATCGTCCCAGAGAAAACCCCCACATCAGGTATCTAGTGCAGAAAATGTGTACTTCGACCTTTCTGCATATCAATGAGTAGCAATTAATTTTTATCTTTTTTTACCATTGCAGCCATTTAATAACTTGATAGCTCAGAAATAGATTACTCTTAGAGGAACTGTGGTGAACAGAAACAGTGACATCTCTATTTGAACAGGTACCTGATGTAAAACACGCTTTTATATGTTCTATAACATCAATCAATAAAAAAAATTTTTTAGGTAATTATAATTATTAAGTGAGGCAATATTATTGTAGTAGGTTATACTCCAAAGAACCACAGAAAACGAGAACCATAATAATGTCTACACAAAAAAAGAAAGCATTTCAGGGAAGAATTCTGGTTCCCAGACCTTCGAACTGACTCTAGGGCGCCTAAAATGCGTCTTCGAGTGGTGAACTTGGCATTCCATAATGCCCACGCGTCAAAAGCAATCCCGCAGCAGCAACGAAAAAATGTGACTGGAGAACCAACCGCCTAGATTGTGACAAGACGTCACAATCTTGGGGGTTGGTTGTAAAAGTTTCGGCAAAAAAAGGAGCAAATGCTCGTCGTAGCATCCCAACACGTGGCTGCTTAAACTCTCATGGACTGTGAAGCTCGACGGTGACCGACAGCAGAACAGCCCCGGCTGCTTTGCCACTGCCAGGATGGTGCAACAGCATGACACAAGTAGGACGTCATAAGGCAAAAACGGAGGAACCCCACATGAGGATGCAGTAAATACACCAGTCCGAGACGTGGTTCCAGGAACTCCAGATACACAAAAAGCGTGCTTTAACCCACCCCGGAGTTTCCCATCCAGAGCAGCTCTTCCTGGGAGTCAAACGCGAGCGCCGACACGCCGAACTGGCTGCCACCGTCCACGAGCACATTCTGGAGGAAGCTGTAGTCCTGGCCGGGGGCCAGGGCAGGGAACTGTTCCAACGAACCTTCCCCAACACCTGGGTACTTGGCCACCCCGTAGTCCATCTGCAGCCAGAGATAGTTCAAACAAAAGAAGTTTCGTTATAAGATAGTACTAGCCTCGATCTCATACCCAAACAAAAAGCGGGTATGCCTATTTTTGAAAAAAAAAAGAGTACATTGCTTATAACATTAAAGAATAAGTAGAAGAAAAGCAGTTGCCTTGTGTGAATATGTGCCTTTTCAGTCTCGTACATACTTGTATCAAGCTACCTAATGGGCTGCTAACGACAAAATTAGGCCGTTATTGATGCTCTCATGTCGAGTGACCTGCTCGGGATGCGATGGCACCAAAAGTAGTAGGACAACGAGTCCAAAACTATCGATACATTTCTGATGACTTAGATAGAATGGGACATCATTGTAGCCTATCATTTCTATTGAATTGAATAAATCAATGTGTGCAAGTTAAAGTTTAATGTGTCAATTCTGTTTTCTTAAGACTTTTCTATTCCTTCCACTAGTTAATATAAGACAAAACAATTTTGTTGGTAATTGCAGCTGACACAGAAAGAGGATCCGACTAACTTTACTGAGTGAATGGTTAAATTAGGCCTCGAATATGTCTCAGCATTTTAGGTACTGCACCACTGCAACTAGGTTTCTTTGGAATTGAATTTCTCTCAGTTTAGTTTCTTTCAGTACAGGTTACTAATTGCAAACAGCATGCTGCCTCGATTGCTAGACACAACAAAAGCATTTTGGAAGTAACGTTGTTAGCCGTAAGTACGGAATGGCAGCTGAAATATTTACTGCAAACTATGGCCACCTCTTTCAATACAAACCCCGCTATCTAATTTTTCTGCGGCACTCGAAAAGCCACCTATAGCAATTTATGGCACAAAGCACATTGGGACAGAAAAGATCAAACTGTTGCAAGCTACTTTGCATGACAGCCAAGTATAGACGCTTTCAGCGCGCGCCAGATTGAGCCGCCATAACCGACCTTCTCTTGCCTCACCGAGATGCCGAGCCACTGAAACGGGCGTTGACGGGCCTCCACAAGGGCCTACGCTGGGGAGAAGGACACAGTAGCATTTAAAGGGGCAATAACCTGTCCTCCTGTGGTAATGATGAAGTGGAGCGAACGGAATAAGCGGGAACAAAAACTGAAGGTCGGTTATGGCGGCGCCCATGCACAGCTGCCTGAAAGCGTCTATAGATAATATTCTTAGATACAAATGCAACATACTTCTCATAAATACTGGTCCCTATGATGACTGGCTCTCAACATTCTGTGCAGGAATATACCGTAATATCCTGAGTCATCACCCACCCACCCTGCTGCCTGAAATTAATAAAAAAAAGAAGGTGGGGTGGCCCATGTGTCAGTGGGTAAGCGCAAAACGTTTAGAAGAAACTAAAAGCTAAAAAATGCCCAATTTTCCATAAATATTTTGCGCGACTGCACAAGAGATACATTAAACTCAAACTCGAATTAGTTTCATTGTTTAATGCAAGAATTACTCATGAAAGAATGTTTTACTTTCACAAAGTTTGTTGCTTGCATATGTGCGATGAACACTGCCGATCGGCATACAGCATGAACGTTTGTTCCACAAAAGCATGTTTCGAACACCGCTATGTTCTCTTCGTTAGTAAAAAGAAAAAAAGACAGATAATAGAACAACCAACCAGGTGCAACAAGCGAGCGAGCTGGTGGGTGAAAGCGACAAAGTGCGCATCGGGCCAAGTTGTGCAACTTTCTTATAAGTAAACTGGCGTACGTTTATAAGGCCTTAACTCAGTCTGCCTCAATGGGTGACTTGTCTCTCAGCTGCAGATGAGAGATTGAACCAGTGCTGTACAACCGCTAGCCTGGGGTCCTTAACCTGCACCTTGCAGTAGCGATACACGACCGCACGCCGGTGCGGCGGTCATCTACATCGAAATGGGCAGGGATGGGGATTTAACCCAGGATCCCTGGGTTCTGCAGTGCAACTTTCCCGTTTGGTACATACATGCATGCGTCCGTGCAAGGCGTGCTATCAACGCGGGTTGAGGCAGGATTGCTCCGTGGCATAGACGGCACCATGAACACAGAGCTCAAACTGGAACGGAATGCTTCACAAACACCTGTGTGTGGTGTTCCAGTAAATCTTTGCTTACCAGTTGACTTTGTTTCAAACATTACACAACCTTACCAACCGCGGCTGCGACGTTCCGGGAGATGGAGCGGGTTCACGATGACCATAGTTTGGTGGAGACAGACTTTGCCCTCACACTCTGCGGTTACATTCCAGAATATGTGGCGTTCACTGATATCACGATCCCTGAATGGGTTACCACTTGTTTTATTTTTCCGACCTTTTTTTTTTTTTTTTTGAAGAAACTCTTTTGTAAGCAACATAAAGTTTCATTTTGCTACCTCCATCGTTTTTGTTTTTTTTTCGCACGCATGTACTCCGACTTTAGGGTCGCAGGTATCGGGGAGGAGATGCATAAACAAAGTGAAGTGTCTTTCCCTCTGCTTTACTTTGTCACGGACGTCCTCCAACCGCAAGGTCTGCGGCCATGTCATTCGGGTAGGATGTCCGCGGATCACGGAGTCCGCGTTGGGGTATTTGTAGGGGTGGGGGATGACCCTGTTTTTTTTTGGAAATCAATATTCGCCAAAAACGTGGTGTGGCCAATGACTCGAGATATTACGGTAGATGCACAAGCTTTGTACAAGAAATGTTTGCCTAATTAATTTGTTAATAGTCAATATAATAGGTAGAAAGAACCTGAAAGGACCGTGCATGATTGTTTTCATAAATCTGCGCTTAATTACTGCATGCACGGTAGTTCCTTCAATACTTGGTTTCACAAACCATCTTTATGTTTACATGAACTCAACTGACCTACAGGTTTTCAATAGAGCTCAACTGAGCTGGCCAACCCCCCCCCCCACAACACATTCAAACTTCTATAGATTTCAAGGTTGAAAACAAGGTGCTTCTTTCTAAAAGGAACTGGTGAGATTGCTTTGACAGCACATTAGTTTTGTGTTCAATAGCTTGACGATGAGACAAGAGCATAAAAGCTGTAGAGCAGTTTTTATCTCAACAAAATAGGCATCAAAACCAACTGTGCCGATCGCTTCTAAGCAATGAACCAGGTTAGCCGTCATGGCTAGAACCAGATATTGAACCAATGATAACAAAACATGAAACATGCTATGTGCTGGTTCACAATAAACAAATTTACAACTGCCATTGAAGCCAAATGTTGCCTCTACCAAAAGATACTGGGAGCATTGTGGAGTTGTTTCACAAAAGCTGCCACAATCGGGTACTTAAATCAAATGGGTTAATCAGTCATTTTTCTATTTCCAACTATAGTTTTAAAGTGTTTAAAGTGACAGGAATACATATGTTTCCGCAATGTTGTCAACATCGCAAATATGTAACCTCAGTTTCCAAATCTTCGACAGCACCTTACACAAACAGGTAATCCACAAACATATAACGCACGTAATTCCCTGAGCAATTCATGCTGCAGAGGCGGTCGGCAATGTCCCTCGAATGACCCCAGCCCTTCAACGTGCAAGGGAGCACGGGGAAAATAGCGAGCTACATCCTCGTCATGGGTTGTACCAGTGCAGAAAAAGCAGCGAGAAAGATAACAGCAAAATCCAGAATGCAATCTGATTGTTCGTCGAAACCTTAGCAGTCCCTCCGAGTCTCAATTCGTTGGAGGCAGCCGCGACCTGCAGGACGGCAGGACGTAGGGCATTCAGCGCACTGTCTGCATGCCGACTCTGCTCTAAAATCTGATTCAAGAGTATCTGCTGCAGCCAGGAGATTCCCACAACCTGAGCCTCAATAAGACGAGTTGGCCCCTCAGCTCGATTAAGGTGGTCAAAAAGCAGACGATTCTCTCGCTCGAGCTGAACAGTCTCAGACTTTGTCAGACGCAAGGTCCCTTCGTCTGAAGCGGGCTGCTGAAACCAGCAAGCCGCAGACGCCACTCTGGATGCCACATTGGAGAAAGGCCGCAGTTGGTAAAATTTTGGCAGGAACTGAGCGGGGCACGTTGTATTTAGGGCGATGTCACCGAAGTGCTGCGTTCCGAATTTGGACCACTGGTGCCTGCTGCAGATGTTTCGGATGTGCATGGCTTTCATCTCGGCGTAAATCCTGCACACTGCCCGGAGGTACTCCCGTAAGGAATGCAACATAATCTCGTAGTGCGCGAAAAATTGCCGCTTAGCATCACGCCTCACGTCGGGGTGCTGCAACAGGTGATTAAGCATTTTTTTGGTGTTCCGTGCGAATTGTTCCACGAGTCTGTCGACTTTGTCTCTCTCTGTGTCCGCAGCGGGTGAGAAACCGAACATTATCTGGTCCCTGCAAAAGTAGGCATCTCGGTGACTCAGCAAATAACGCTTCATTCTGGTGATCGTGGAGAGAATGTCGAACGCCTTTGCGTTGAAAAAGTTCTGGTGCGTCGACTGTATTTCGGTGAATCTGCATCCGGGGACAAGCCGTATAACCTCTGGTACTGCCGTAGTGACGGCCTCTTTGAAAAATTTTGTGATATCCATTCTGTAACCGAATTAGTGCCTTGCGGAAAGAACCCGTTCGGACTTTTGAATACTGTCGGATTTGCACCGAGTGTCTTCGCCGTACTGCCGTACAAAATGACAGTACATAACCAATCTGCACTAAACAAAGCCATGTTCACAATACTTCGCAATTAATTGAGCATGCGTTCCTGCTTTCTGGATACATAGTAAAAGTCTTCGGGTTTCGCAAGCGAGTTAGCAAAGAATTTACTCGGCGGTTTGACGTCGTCACTTCGAAACAGTGCATACAACTCATTTAACAATTTAAAGTGGAACAAAAAATAGGTGCTTAACGTACCAATAATTTATAAAACCGCTTGTTTTTCTTCCGCTGCGGTAGCCGGCCAACTTTGTAAACATCCCGCATACGCTGCGAGCTCACCTGTTATTGTTTACCAGCAGGAGGCCATGTTGAAGGACTTGTCAAACGCATAGATAATTCAAAACAAAGTGAACAAAGTGAGCCCACTCAATAAGCAGCTTATTAGCGCCATCTTTGAGGTGTAGAAACAAATAAAAACTGATTGCTAAGTTTGGGTATTTATTTGTGCCAATTTATCAGGTCACATTCCACTTCATTGAGTTTTAAAATAACCATAATAGTTTATTACGAACCCAGCTGTTGTACTTCAGCTTTGGTAAAATTTGCCAACTTTAACGAAATGTATTATTAGTACGGCAGCACTGTGCTGCGTGAGCTTGTATTGGCGCGCGTAATATGAAAGTGATTTCGTTCATCTCGCGCTGCAGTTTCTTTTCCTGGTTTTGTGCCTGTATTTCGCTCGCCATAGTTATACTGATTGATCACATGCTGCCTTTTATGTTAACTATTCACCCATGACTGAGTTGGCCTGGCTGAGACGTTAATTTTGGAGTGGATCAACGAGCAAGGGCTTCGTAAGTACAGCACGCCGCTTCGCGGCGACAGTCTGCGGCGGCTCATTACAAAAATGTGAACCCATTTGGCCTACCCGAAAACGCCGCTTCGCGGCGTCCGACTATTCGCTAAAGTGTCATTCGGTGAAACGTGGGCGTTCGCTAAAACGTCATTCGATCAAGTGAGTGCCTCCCCATTACCGAAAGTTCATCCGCGCAGATGTAGCGCTGTCCGGAGGACAATTCGTCTGCTTTTTGCCCGAGAGTTGCATTTTTAGATTTTATTTGTTTATATCAGTGGTTCTCAAACGGGGTTCCGCGAAGGCATTGTGGGGCTCCGCGAGGCCCTGCCTCATCAGTCAAGCCCGGCAATAAAAGTTGCCTTTTTTCAGATTGAGAAGAAACATTCCAATTTTCGGGCAAGGTCCCTCGTGTGTATGTCAATGAGAGAAGTCTACTTCACACTTTGTGATAATATGCTCTGGACTAACCACGTAAGAAAGCTCTGCTCTAAACTGGGTAAATCTGTAGGAATTATGAACAAACATAGACATGTTCTACCGAAAAGCGTAAAAAGTGTTTTATATAACTCATTATTTTATTCACATTTGTGTTATTGCAATCTCGTCTGGGGAAATACGTCTGATTCAAGTTTAAATATGATACATTTATTACAAAAAAAAAAGGTGATACGGATAATAGCAGATGTTTCTTACATTCATCACACCGAATCATTGTTTCAATTATATAAGATCCTTAACATACAGCAAATTTATAACTACCGTTGAACAATAGCTTACAGAAATGCGACATACGGTCGTTCCAGTACAATTCTTCAACTATCTGAATTAAAAGAAACAGAGAATTATTACCCGTCTAGACATCACCAACCTTGGAAAATTCCGAAATGTAGGACAAATTATGGAAAACAAACAATACGTTATGCTTTACCTCTTTTGTTGAATGAATATTGTGATCAAAATATAGATGTAGTGAAAATGTCAAACAGCAGTATACTCAATTTGTATTTTAATACTTAAGAATGTATTCCTTATGTGCGCACTATATTTGCATTGTTTATTTCTGAACGCATTTTATTTGTTTTTGTGCTCCGTCATAGCTGCTGAGTGTGTGTGTGTGTGTGTGTGTGGGGGGGGGGTTCCGGAGCTTGTCAAACTGCATTTCTGCAGCTTTTTCTCCGGCCTCCCATTCACACATGTGGTGAGAATAAAGTTTGTATTATATTGTATATTGTATTGTATTGTACACTAGCCCTTAGTTATGTCCAAATATTAAATCATTCCTCCGTCATCTGCGCCGATCCACAAGGGGTCCGCGAAACATCAATGGTTGAGAACCGCTGGTTTATATGACTACTTTGGGCCCTGACCTGATGTGATAACAATAATTAAAATCACACCACCCCGACAACGTGCTCGCATTTTTAATAGAACAACATAGCAAGTGCACTGTCGCTCCCGTTGCTCAATCTACTCAGGAATTAACCAAGCTCAACAGGTCCAAGAAATTGGACCTGTTGAGCTTGGTTATTAAAGAAAGCTTGGTTTAAAGAAAGTTATTTGACAGTTCTTGCGCTCCTGACGATTCCTATTGGAACACCGATACTTCTTTCTTAATGGTGATATATTTTTAAGGCGAGAATCCCAAGCTCGTTGCTTCCTCTTCGGCAGTTTCTCGTGCTGATCGAGAGTTCGCGCAGCCGAGACAGCCGAGATACATCCTTCAACGAAGAGCTTGCGCTTCCAGCCTAGTAGCGGAATTGTTGTACATTACAAAACGCTGGGGAGCAAAAGAAAAAAAAAAAAAAAAAAAGGACAAGTTAATACAGATAAGTAAAAACTATGTGAATACGTTGAAAGAGCGGAGCGACTTTTCGAGCGAAAAAGAATCGGCGAGGGAGATCACGAGGCGCATGCCATTTCTAGCGCTCGAAACATGGGGATCCGGGACTCGTAGCCGGCTGCCTGCGGGCAGCGTGTTTGAGATCCCTGCCATAAAGGGTTAAGGGCGACGTCTAGGACGACGTCGAGAACGACGCCTAGAAGACAACGTCTAGGACGACATTGAGAACGACGCCTAGTGGTCGACTTCTATCCTCCGTGCCACTAGTTGCGTGCAGTACAGGCGAATGCAACGCCAGGCGAGGGGAGGAAGGACAAACACTAGAAAGGCTGGGGAAGAGGAGAGAAACCTCCTTTCCTCTCTAACGTCCCTAGTGCTCTCCATTTCTCTCTTGCCCTCCACTGCCCTCCTCGCCCGTCCCGCCTTCCTAGTGCTCGCCCTCTCTCTTCGCCTGGCGTTGCCTTCGCCTGCACTGCACACAACTCGTGACGCGGAGTATAGGACGACGTCAGGAACGAACTCTAGGACGACCTCAGGAACGATGTCGAGAACGACGCCTGGAAGACGACGTCTATAATCGGTTACAAGTCAAGAAGGTAGGAGAAGCTCCTCCCACAAACGTGATGCGCCCGTTTCAAATCCCTCCGCAGTCGAAAGAAGAGTTCCCTGAAAACGCTCCTTGTTCCGCTTTTTAAGAAAGCGACCTTTGTATTCATCGGAGAGGGAACCGAGCCCCTGAAAGTAGCCTTTGTATCGATCGGAGGGGGAACCCTGGGGGAACCTAACCCCCGAAAGTCGTATTTGTTTCCATCGGAGCGGGGAAACTCTAATCACTCTCTCGTGGCTTCCACAATGCTAAGCCAAAGTCGAAAGATAAGGCAAATATGTACAGAAAGGCAAGACCCTCTCGCGCGTTGGCCGCGACGTCACGGAAACGATGGGACGCTATTGGATGCGGAGGTGACGGAGAAATATATGATTCCCTTTGAGGGGCATTTGCCGCTACCTTTTCGACCTGTAACTTACTATAGGACGAATCCAAGGACGGCGTCGTGCTTGAGCATACGATTGAGCGGCGCCTGCTTGATCACGTATTTTTATGGCCAACTTTCGGGCACAACGACGCCGCTTTTTCCTGCATTGGGACAAGTAAGGCTTTCGTTTTAAAAAATTGAGCTGCAGAGAAATATACACCTTCTTTAGACACAAAAAGATAATCTTAATATGTATGTTTTATCGCTTAAGACAATTTTCGTGTAAACAAGATATATTATTATCGCGTATACAAATTAGTAGCTTGTGAGTTCAGTAAACGTTGCTCAGTTTTGCCTAAAGTCAGCATGGAGAATAGAAGGGTAGGAGAGGGCATGACGTCGGCTGCGCGTAGCCTCCACAAGCCATGCTCCCTTGACGCCTCGCCTCTTTCTCATTTTCCTCCTTACTCTCCCTACTTATCACGCCAACGTGACCACATCACGTGATCGTAGCTAGCCTTCGTCTAGCTAAGTGTACTAGAATACACCACAGTCTAGCCTTCGATCTGATAAAACCTACCGGACGGAGCGCGCGCTAGTCTGCAAGGAATCCTCCTACAATCAACCATCCATCTCGCACGTGACATGTCACGCGCACCAATCGCCAGAGAGATCCGCGGTCACGCTGGGCACAAAATCGTTTGAACTTTTAATGACTATAGGCTTCACCAATATTGCAACGTGCCCCCTCCTAGTACTTCTAACCTCCTTGAAAGTCAGCGAAAACCTAATACCAGGTTATTTTGGAGTTTTATGGCCGATTGTGCCATCTGCTGAGTTGTGACCGAAGTTGAAGAACTAGTTGTTCAGGAAAATTCCTAGGGTGGCGCTAATTTTGTTCTCGACACACAGACGCTTTTAAACAGGTGTGCATGGGCGCAGTCACGACTGACCTTTAATTTCTCTTCCTCTCATTTGGTACGCTTCACTTCATTCCTCTGGCTGCCAGACAGGTTTTTGAGTTTGGTACACAGCAGCGTTGTGTCGAAAAAGTTGTATGGAAGTTAATTCGTTATTACGCCTTTTAGCGGCTCGGCATCTCAGTGAAGTAACAGAAAGCCAGTTGTTGCGACTCAAATCTGACGCTCTAGAAAAGGGCCTAATAAAACCTTTACCCGTGAAGTGCGCTATGAAAACTTTTACACGATGAGTACACCCTCCCCAGGTTGTCTTTCTTTTGATTTTTTTTTTTTTCATTTATTGAAACAGGAGTAATGTCAGACGATCGACTTCGACGGTTCTGGTTTAATAATGCGACGACTCCAAGCGTCCACTGTGCTTTTTACACCCACCATGACTCGTCCTTCGCAACTAATGATAAGAGTTGACGATCTTGGCGCGCAACAAAAACAAGACTGCCCGGGAGATTGATGAGGCCTTTTATATTTTATCAAGGGGGGAGGAAGAATGCGTCAGTGCTCCGTCGGTTAACTTGGGGGCTGACGAAGTGTTTTTTATCAGGAACTGTGGCAGACGTGTGTGAAAGTGATATGGCGTGGTAGTGTCTTGTTTTATCGGGTTCCCTCCTTTTTATTGGCTTCTGTGTTTTTTCCTCTCCACACCCAGTGTTTACTTTCTGGTTCGCTTGAAAATAAACATTCAGTTGTTAGTCAGCGCCGTGTTTGTGCACTTCTTCTACTCGTCCTTCGTCG